TTTTTTGTTAAGTAATAGTGCCATTCTTCACTTTTTAATAAGCCACGAGCAATTATAAATTACTTCATTAGATAGCTCTCGAGCTGGGCACCATTAATACATAAACATATGTGCTCTAGTGAAGTGCATCTTAACCAAAAAAAATCATGAAAAATCTCAAAAAAGTGTAATTTCGTAATCTTACATTAGATATTTCTCTAATGACGATAGATTTGTTCCTCTGCCTAGGTTATTAAAAATAAATTGTCCAAAGTAAGATCATTTGATGGCAAAGGACCGTGACAAAGATGGTCGAAGAAAGTGCGTTGCAACAAGGTCGTGGTCCCTGTCTTTGAATGCTTCGTCACATCTTTCAAGTCTCCTCTCCAACTTGCAAGACCGTGAATGGACTACACAGATCAGCCCACTCAATACCAAAACCAAGTCACCTTTTTTGCAAAATTGACATCAAATATTCAGCAATTATATATACAACGAAAAATCTCAAATTAGTACATCCGTGATAAATTTACCTTAAATTATTTTTCTACCACAAAAAACTTTAAACTGGTACACCTACCATCCATTAGTTTCCATTAAATTAGATTAATACCACGAAAAATCACAAACTAATACACCCGTAAAAAAAATCAAATTGATACACCCGTCAATTGTCACGTGTCATTAACGCAGCAATTTAACAGTAAAATTTAATGGAAACTAATGGAGGGTAAATTTATCATAAGTATACCAGTTCGGGTATTTTATGATAAAAAAATTAATTTTTGGTAAATTTGTCACATGTGTACCAATTTGGGGTTTTTCGTGGTATTAACCAAAAAAAAAAAACGAATTCCCCTTAAAAATCACCAATTTTATCTCAATTTCAATTTTGGCGAAAACTTTCTTATTTTATAAAGAAACGCCAACTTTCTTTCGAGCCTCGATTCTAACCAAACCCTTTTCTTGTCTCGTTAGAAAACACTAACTTTAGCTTGAGTCGTGATTCCGGTCCACTTTGGCACCTAATTCTCTATCCTTTTGGTTGAAAAAAAAAAAACACATTTGGAAGGGAGTTCCTCCAAGCCACGTTTTGTGGAAAAAGAATAGAGATATAAGTTGGGGAACCCAAAATGGGTTTCTCCTTTTGCTCGTTCCCAGAAACCTCCATTTGTATCTTTTTACACTTCAAAAGGTTGAAGCTCTTCACTTGTTCTATGGTCGCCGGCAAATGGTCATACCATTTGAATAATCCAGCTAGCAAATTTCAGATCTTTTGGGCAAAAGGACTCCTTGCCAAACTCTTTCGTTACACACTCTTCAAGTTGGATTCACCCTCTTATCAGGTTGGAAGAAAGATGGTCCATGACCAATTCTAAGCTGGAAAAGGACTTGAACTACCATGTATTTCGCGTTATCACCGACTCGTCGTTTATTTGGTCTAACCAAGGAGAGTGATTCAACCCCTGACTCAAGGGGTACGGTCGGGAAACAGCTCTCAAAACTAGTTGTTCTTTTAAAAGGATTTATTGAGGGAAACCATAGTCACATTCTAAATAACAAGACAACTTCGCTTTCATGGTCTACGGCTATGTGTTTATCAATCTTCAATCTAGCGAAACCCCGCAATTTCCATGGAAAACTTATGGGGTTTCTCTTTCCATTGATAGGCCTGTGTGTTTTTCCAAGTCAAACTTGGGACCGTAAGAGACGGTGAAAGAGAAAAGGGAAAATACCATAAAAAATTATGTTATTTATGATAAATTTATCCTGAACTTTTTTTTTGTGACACGAAAAACCCCAAACTATGCCACTTGTGATAAATTTACCGTGAACTTTTTTTTGTGACATGAAAAACCTCAAACTATGCCACTTGTGACACATTTACCCTACAATACTTTGGCCATGGGCATTTTCGTCTTTTTCCTTTTTCCATTTTTTTTCCATTTTTTTTTCTTTTCCGGCGAAGGCAGCCCTTGCCGGCGTCGGGCAAGGGCTTCCCTCGCCGGCCCAGGCGAGGGCGACCCTTGCCGGCGTCAGGCAGCCCTTGCCGGCGTCGGGCAAGGGCTTCCCTCGCCGGCCCAGGCGAGGGCGACCCTTGCCGGCGTCGGCCCTCGCCCAAAAAAGACGAAAAAATTCAGGGTAAATTTGTCACAAGTGACATAGTTTGGGGTTTTTCGTGTCACAAAAAAAAGTTCAGAGTAAATTTATCACAAGTAATATAGTTTGGGATTTTTGGTTGTATTTTCCCAAGAGAAAATTAGTCAGTTTGGGGATGCAGTGGATAGGAAATCATGAGACTCTGTGCTTGTCAAAGATGGAAGTTTTATCTTTTGAATTAGAACTTTCCTCTTGCAATAATTTTTCAAAAGTAAAAAGGAAAAAGGAAACCCAAAATACTTCAAAGTTGGGCCTTGACATTCAGATAGGGCTACAGAAGATGGAAGACATTTGGGGAAAATAGGGTATGTCAAGACCTTTTTCCATTGAAAATACCAATAGTTAGAGTTGATACTGATGTCTACATTGGCAAGTGTTGTATAATCCAAAGACCGGAAGAGAATAAGGAAGTAAGGTGATTATAGTGTTTTATACTAACTAATCCACATCTAGGCCGGTCAAAATGGGTCAAAAACTTATAATGTAATTTAGTTTTACTTAAGTGAGTTATAAACGGGTCAACTTATATATGAAATATGAGTTTTAAAATGAAAAGCCTAAAAAAGATGAGTTTTAATGGGTCCGATACAAACCCATCTTGTTGTAGGAGACGGACGAACTTGACCCTGTCCCTATTGAGTACTGAACACGATTTTCTCTAGTCATGTTCCTAATTCTCTCGCTCGTGCACTTTGCTCAATTGTGTTACGATTGTGCTGGTTCTATCAACAGAGCCATGAGAATCTCTACTTTGCGTAACACTTGTGACGAGCTTGTTTTGTTCAATCTTCCGGAGATGTCAAGAGATGATATGCTTTCAATTGATGTGCGCGAATCACGAGTGCGGTGAGGGTTAGGGTTTGGGCTAGTAGGCGGAGTGGAACAGGGATTAGGTGCGGCAAAGTTAGCCGTTCGATGGAGGGGTCCGGTGGCTTAAACGGTCATGACATGCTGTCATTATTAACTACAGCTTAAAGGTTTTTTGGAAAACATAATCAAGTATTAAACTATATTAAAATCCGAGCAACTAAATCCTAAGTCATCAGCGACATCACCGTAATTTCAAACTGATTGAAGTCATTATCAAATAGAAAGATATTTCGAATCAATAAACTTGTTCCAAAACTCTAGATTTCAAAAGATAATTTCTTATTCAATTAACAAAAATATGATAGAAAAACTAATTTGAGTACTCGAAAATAAGCTATGAATTGATTAAAAACACCTATGCAAAGGACTAATCAAACCTATACGACTTTCACGCTCCTGTCCATAATCCAATTCCCGAGCTCCTTTACTGACTCAACAAGCCGGTCCATGGAGCTGCCTATTCTTCAAAGGTCACAAGTTAAGGAGAAAAAATTACTAAAAATGGATTTGCGTTGGGTCGGCTATGAGTCTCTAAAAATATGTTGCATAAAAATGGATCAAAACAGGTTAAATGGGTCAATTTAAGTCGGATCATTTTTTACTCAACCTAACTCGCACGTTTGACGGGTCTGTCCACATCTAACCAAGTTAACAATAATCATTCAGCTGTTAAATCTTCTTAAGACTCCTAATTTTTGCATACATATATAGTCGTCAAGGATGTAATGATCGTTTGTTTCGCAAAAAGTTTACCAACTCCGGAAAATATTTTTTAAGATATTTTTTAGAAAAATAGCATTATTTTCCGGTGCTCGACGAAAATCTGATGATGAATTGGAAATTATTTTCCATCATTTTGATAGGAAAACTTGTTTTTATTTTCTTAAAGGGACACGCAATATTCGCATTTTGATTTTCACTTTTTTGTTGGATTAAACTTTTGAACTAGTTAATTACGTACTTCCAAATTCCAAACATGTTAGCTGACTTTCAACCGGGAAAAAAAGGATTTCTTATCGAAAACATCACACACACACATTGATTCTATCTTACTCTGCGTGGTCTTCAAATGGAAGGATTATTTATCTGTTAATGGAATGAACAAAATCGCTAATACGGCAAGTTATGTATTTGTCAGTATCTTAATTCGCTTGTGGAGTAAATTTTTACACTCCAAATGTAAAAAACTAGATAATTTGAAATGTGTTAAGCGTAAGTTTCGATTTATCGCACTTTTGAGTTCCTAATATAACTTTCTATGATGGAATCCATCTGTTCTACCATTACACCTACCGCATTCGATGCATACATGTATTGAGATTTCGTCATTTTGTAGGTTCACAGGCGTGAATTTAGTTATTCAATATATTGTTTTTAGCAGCTATGAAGTTTAGCTCATCTTATTTTATTATATCCAGCTTCGACCGTCGGCATCTCAATCGCTTTGGCACAATCGTTAAAGGCTCGAGTACAATTCCGAGGTCTTCGGCCCAGTTTTCGAGTGACTCGGCCGAGGTCCTAGACCTAGGTGCCGAGGACCTCAGCTTAAGCTTATGGGACAAGGCCCCAACCTTGAGAGACTTGGGCCCAGCCTCGTGGGACTTAGGCTCGGCTGCTGGGGTCTCAATCGTAGTAGCCGAATACCTGGGCATGACTGGGACTTGTGCAGGGGCACCAAAGTCTCGGGCTCGATCTTAACGCACTCGGGCTCAGCCTCTATGGACTCGACCTTGACCTTGATAGACTTGACCTGGACGCCAGTGACTTGAGCGCAGGAGTCGAATATTCAAGCATGGCCGTCGGGGATCAAGACACGAGCACAGAATTCCTCGAGCCTTGCCTCAAAGGACCAAGGTATGGCCTCCGAGGACTTGGGCACGGGAGTCGGGGTCTCAGTGCCCACGTGGCAAGGTCTAGCCTTAATTTTGTAAACAATTTCTAATATTCAACATAGTAAGTCATTTTTCTTGCATAGTATATGTTTTCCGGCATTAACTATGAAAAGACTCTCTTTATTGCTTTCCTCAACGATTCAAACGTCCATAAATAAAGAAAACTAGTAGTAAGTTTTTTCGCGAAATAAACGGGCTCGGCAAACGGTTCATCTGTTCCTCTCTCTCGAAGCTGAGTAATGGGCAGCACGTTCGGGCCTCCAACTTTCTTCGGCAATGGGCTTAGCTTGACTCGTGCGGGCTTTGGTACTCGTTCAGGTTTTGCCGGAGATGGTCTCAATCGAGCGCATCACTCAGAACGTCGAGCTAGAGCATCTGATACGATGACATTGCTGAGGTCTACACGATGCTCCTCCAAGAAGCTGATGAGTTCCCTGAAGTTCTCTTCTGTTGGGTGGAAGCGCCCACTGGATAGCCAAATAGCCTAAAGACATACCCAAAATACACATTACGCGAGAAAAGAAGCCGGCTGTCTACTAGAGAATATCGATCGAGAGCAGACGATACGCGGACAGATAATTCGTTTTGAAATGCAACGAAATGTGCAGTACCTCTAGAATCCCCTTATGGGCGACTAATCTTCCAGCTGCGGTGATGGCGGCACCGGCGAGAAAACTGGAGTGCTGAAACACGCCTTTCTTCTTTTGACCCACATACAAGGCCCTCGACTTGCTAAGTACGAATATCCACTTTGAACCTTCCACAGTGTCCACAAGCATGCCGCTTTGGCTATACATGAGTTTCCCGTTTTTGACTCTCACCTCGAAGGCTTCTCTTTCGTTCTGCAGGAAAAACAAAGAGGAGTTAATGCCAGTTCAAAGCAGATGTATACCTTCTGCTTGTCCGAAGTGTGTTGCAATAAGTATACTTACAGGTCCGAGATACTTGATGCATTGCCGACGCAGAACACTTCTCGGGCACTTTTCGAGATTTATATCTTTGCCTTGTCCAACATCCAACCTGCATTTAACATGGTCCTTGTTATTAAAAGGTCTTTTGACACCGATGAGCCTTTGCTAGCTCTACAATATTATGATAGGCTAAAACATGAACGTAACAAACACAACAAAAGATCCCCGTATGAACTATTAACCAGTTCTGACCAAAAAAAAAAAAACTACTAACCAGTAGAAGAAAGGCTGTGTGGTCTCGCTTTTGAACCACTCGTCATAGTAGAGATGCAAATTGTGGCTGTAACGATGCCTCGGGTCAATCTGTTCAAACAAGATACTATCAGCAGTATTTAAGATACTCAAATCTCCTTTTCTTGGAAAGAAAAGCGATCGTGGTGGTGCGTGCCTCAGGAGGATAAGGGCACTTACAGCTTCAAGCCAGTGCTGTAATGCTAGCTTTTGAGCCTTCTCATCTTTTGACAAAGCGTTTACTACCTGAAAGATAATCATCAGCGTCCTAATGTTATTGTTAATGGTCAAATAAGTTGAAAGGAGGAAAAACAAATCGGGCTCTTTCAAAAGAGTGTCTTTTATGTACCTTGGCGACTCTAGTTCTTGCCCTCGCCCACCGAGAACCAGCAGTTTCCGGCTTATCATTCCCGTAGAATGATGCGGAACTATGCTTCAGGGCCGCAAAATCTATCGCCTTCCACCTGAAACATTTGTAGTTTTGCACCAATTAGCCATTAAATAAAAGAGCGCATCAGTAACAACTCGATCAATTCAAATTAATTCATGAAAGACTCACCAGAGCTCCTCGACCACAACTGCGCAATCTGCCAAGTTTCTTCTTGTTCTGTAACTCTTGTACACTTTCTGCATCTTAACGGTGGCCGCATCGAGCTCGCTTTTGGGTCTCGGCGCGAAAAATATCTCAGGTTGAGGGCGGGACAATCTTATCGCAGGTTTATAGGTCGGACCATCTTTGACTTTTAAGTTATCCGAAGCCTGGTTGGCTTCTTTGCCATGTAAGAAATTCTCGAAGGAGAGAGTTCGTTCGACACCCACGTTCTCGGTTTGGCAGAGTTTGAGTTTGATGGAATTCTTAGGATCGGTCTTGTCAGAGGCAACTGAATCGGTCATGACTTGTAAATTTGTTCTCTTCAAGCTATCTGTCCTCAAGGCAATCGCTTCCGGTTGCCTGGGAGATAAACTGATGTTGTGGGCCAATTTGACACACCGATGAGCAACGATTTCGTGCCAGGCAGATACAAGTTTCAGCACTGACCTGCTCAAACACAATCCAACGCAAATACTCAGATGACAGAATTCCCAAAATAAAAGTAGGACATGAAGCTGTTTTTATGAACTTAATCCAAAATTTTTTATCTGAAATTTCCGATCCATTTCAGAGTCAACACAGAGCAAGAACATGTTACTCTGCACAATCATACTCAGCTACGATAAAATTTTTTTTTAGCTGAATAAATAGATTTGGACGATAAAAGGTCGAAACTTTATCGTTACCCGTCGGTCTAGAATCAAGAACTGAACCCACAAACTTTCTTTGGATATGCCTGACGCAGACCCCAGCTCCCCCTTTACATACAGAGGCCCCAAAGGGATAAGAAGAGGGAGGGTCAACGAGACCTTAAATACGCACTGTGAGCAGAAACTTTGAATTGGGTTCAGGTTGATTTCAACGTGGGGGACTTTCGGAAGGAAGGGCTATTCGAGGAATTCAAAGGTCGGAATGCAAACTTCGAACTGTGTTTTACCTTTGAGACCATGCAAAAAGAGAGAGTTCCAAGAATGTTTATATGGAAGCTGGAACTTAGAACTGTCGAACAAGGAAGTCTTTCGAGCAAACATTGGATAAAGTACGAATAAAAGCAGACATACACTGTTGCAGAGAGCCTTTTTCTTTTTCCCTGATCAAACTCGTGGACCTTCTTGCATGTAAACACGCATCACGTTGCTGGAAAATTTCTTTTCTTAATATAATCTTGCGTGCTCATGGTGATTTGGCACATGTTCTTTCTGTTTTGGTCTCTTCGAAGAAGACGAGAAAAGAGCAAGTCATGACCCCTCTCCTTCAAGGAAGTTGACGATGGTAATGTTATTCATATTTTTGGTCTGCCTTCAATTATAATTTTTTGATTTCTCAGTCTCCTTTCTCCGCAGCCGCCACGGTGGTTGAAAAAAAAAATTAATAAAAAAAGCATGGAAAGGCCTACTTTTGCACCTAATTCTCTATCCTTTTGGTTGGAGAAAGAAGGTGAGTTCCTGGAAGCCACGTACGATGATGTAATACAAAGAAAAACTCATGAAGTTGTGGAACCGAAAATGGGTTTCCCTTCTGCTCATTCCCAGAAACCTCCATTTCTGTCCTTTTGAACCTCAAAGGGTCGAAGTTTGTTCACTTTGTTCTATGGTTGCCAACGAATGGCCATAAGCTTTGGTTGTGCTGTTATTGATTTGGAAAACAAAGAAGGTCCATGAGCAATTCCGAACCGAAAGGACTTTGGAGAGTTCCATGCATTTAACGGCATGGCTGATTCGTCGTCCATTTCACCTAACGGCGGAGTAATTGAGATTCGACAAGACATTATAAGCAACAAGACAATTTCTCAATCTGGAATCTGCTCTCGAAACTAGTTTTTTCCTTTTTCTTGGACATAATTATCGTAAAAGTCCTAACCTATTACACTTGTACCAATTCAATTCTAACGTTTTAATTTGATCAATTTAGTTAGAAACATTTTGATAATTTACCAATATAGTTCATCCAATCAATTTTAGCAAGAAATTTTTGACATGGACTCATGTCATCTTACGTGAAACGGCCAACGCTAACGTGAATAATTTTTACAAAATTTTATGAATTTTTTTTCTTTTTTTTTCTTCTTCTCTTATTTCCCTCCGCTAGTTTGTGGCCATTGCAGTGGTCGGTGGAGGTTGTCGACCACAGGCGAGGGGCTGCGATGCCCTTGCTAGATGAAGGTCAAGGCCTGGACCGATGGAGGGAAATAAGAGAAAAAAGAAAAAAAAAGGAAAAAATTATGAAAACATTGCAAAAATTGTTGTTCCTAAAAATTGACAGATTTCAGGCCATGAGCCAAACTAACGTTCCCTCTATAGTTGTTCCTAAAAACCGAATGATGAATAATATTCTCGCATCGGATCGTATCACGTGCATCTAGTCTCTCGAGTGGGATACACACAACACTTTGGCGCAATAACAGGTTTTAGCATGTCATGACCTCTTCAATAGAGCGGCATCAACTTCTGATCAGTTTGTGCACGGAAGCCGACCCCGAGCTCCTCATAGATACAACCGTTTATTATCTTAGAAATCCTAGCACAAACGCCTTAATTACCATTCCTAAGTACTAGTTGTATTATCCCTTCTGTTCTGTATTACTTTTCACCCCGGCACCATGAAAGCTCAATTCATAAGAGGGCACGATAGCATGGGAGAATCCAGTCCATGACACTTGCATAAGCTGATTGGATTAGCGAATTGGGCAGCAATTTCTTCTGGCCAGATAGACGTTTCATACCCAATAGGCCTCCCGGAGGCTCATTACCTTTATTTCTAGGAGAAAGGATTGGTTATCGTACTAATCGGAGAGGGTTCTTTAGAACTAATCGAAGAAGGACGAGATGGTCGAGTTGCTTATAACCCGGATCCGTAGTTTCCGGGGTTAGATCTTCTTTGGAACCGGCATGTCGAACTCTATCTAATTCGATCTTCCGGCTCGTTTTGTTCGGTGATTACCCAATTTGATCCGGTTCAGCCACGCCATTTTTGAGGAATCCGGTCCGGTCTCATGAACCGCTTTCTCATTTAACAAACACGATTTCGTTTTCTTCATGTTCCCGTGGGCCAACCGAACCGAAGCGTCGTTTCGGTCGGGTCCGATTAGGCGTGCCTCTTGTCCGAAAAAGCTCTCTCTCTTTTTATTCTCTGCGTACGCGGACTTCTCTCACCTGAAATCACATCAGAAAATCCACGCGAAAACACCAAAGACTCTCTCTCTCTGTCTCTCTCTCTCCATGGCTGACGCGAAGCCTGAACGGAGCGCTCCTTCAACGTCAGGTACCAATCTCCGCAGCATCTGATCGTCTCCTTCGAGATTTGGGTTTTTCATGGACTGTAACATCGGTCCCGCTAATCTGATTTCTGCTCGTATTCCCGATTTTTCTTCCGAAAGTTGAACGTGGTCGGGTTTGAGTTTATCTGGGGTGGTTGCTTATTATCTGCGAGGGGACGCGGATCGAACGTTGGATGCTGAGGTTTTTTGTTTCAGTTGCGAATGGTCTGGGGCGGATTAGTATGTAGCGATAGTGAGTCGTCGTTCATTCGTCTGCTTAGGCGAAATGACGATCGCTTGTGGACGAGTTGGAATCTCGGCGCTTGCCTCTTCCAGGTTGTCGTGTGCGTTGTACACGTGAAGCCCGCGTCCTGTGTTTCGCGTGGAAAGGCGCGAGGAGGGATCTTTAGCGACACGTTCGATGTAGAATTTAGCCCGGAACTTGTTTTCGGTTTTATCATCTGTATGGATTTGTACAAGCTAGATTCATCCTCCATGTGAATTGGATTGCATCACATCTCTATTTGCGTGACTTTGCTTGATGGAGTAGGAATGGAGTGGTACCTTCGGAAAGAGCTACATTGTGGCAACTGGGATAGAATTTGATCATTTTCTTTCCGACCGAGTTGTCGTGCATTAGTGCAGATACATAGAGTAGTGTTATTCATGGATTTTGGTTCTCCTGGTCAAATGTGTTAACAGATGATGGTTCGAATGAGCCTCACGCGATTCAAAGAGCAAAGGAAGATGACAAATCGCCCCATCATCACAAAGAAACGCACGGAATGCGCAAGGACATTGACGAGAACACCCCATTGAGCGATGTCAAAGCACCTAATGTATTTGAACGAGCGAAGGAAGAGATCGAGGCTCTCGTTCAAACTATTCATTTAAAGAAAGAGTCTCCCACTCGTGAAAAAAGGTATAGTGTTCGACCTTTGATTTTTGCAGAAAACTAAGCTTTTAAGTATTCCGACTCCTCTTTGACACGACCGAACTCCTGAGGAGATTGCAGGGACCAGACACTGCAGACAGAGTCCGGTGGTAGTGGTTCTCCCTCAGGTTTAATTTCTACATAGCATAAACCTGATGCTTGTTCAGTTGTTCTTGTTTGCACAAAAGATTGGAAGAATATGTAGTGATTCTAATCTGTCATGATAGCAGAAAATGATGGCAAAGGACCCAATTTCATCCAGAAAGCGAAGCAAGAGATCGAAGGAATTATGCATTTTAAAAAGTCACCCCGCCATCATGGCAAGGAAACTCACGGCTTGAATGAGGACATCGATGAGAACACCCCAATAGGCGAGGTTAGAGCTCCAAATGTCTTCGAACGAGCAAAAGAAGAAATTGATGCCGTTGTACAGGCCATCCATCTAAAGAAAGAACCGAGCAATGACGTCGTGAAGTCACCGAAGAAAGAACACGGATTCAGGTACTCCATCGGAAAAGGTTTGGAGAAGGTGTGCTCTCCGTTGGGTCATAAACGAGACTAGATGTCAAGCTTCGGCAAAACCCTGACGAGTCTTCATTGTTTAATTGTCCTTACGGGAGCGAAAGAAAGGAAAAGCCACAACAATGTGAGCAAATATGTCATAGATGACCACATTCACTTACATGGCCCCACTGAGGATGACAATTTCTGTTGCATGTAATCTACTGGTTTGTTTTTTTGAACTTAAAGGTGCACATAAGTTGATGCTTTTGTTACTCGTCCCGCTAAGCTGTCAGATCTAAGAAGAGGTAGATTGAACTTGTCACTCTCTCAGGACTGCTCTTCCATGACTCCTGCTTCTGATGAATTGGGCTTTACTGAGTTATATTATGCAGAGTTCTGTTCATGTATGGTCGATAGGATGATGCAAGCGAATGTTTGTTCTGACTCGATCTATTGTCATCTCATTTTTCGATTCAACTTTTGCAATTGGGGTGTTGTGCATTGCTGGCAGCATGCTCAACATCAAAAGTCCATTGTCTGATACAATGAGATCTGTGCATATCTGTAGAGAAACTATACAAGCTCGGGAAGAGTTTGAGTTTCGTAGCATTTGATGTTCACGCACTTGGTCCGTGACTCTTCATTAGCCTTGGTAATGCTTCGGTCGCCAATGAACGACCTGGTGATCAGGTTCTTTTCTTAGTTGTGAATGTCCGGACGGTATACATGTACATGTAAAACCTGGTCTCATTGCTTAACGACACAGTGCATGTCAAAAGGCGAATTCGCACAGCGCATCGGGCCAGGCAGACATCCATCTCTTTTGCCCTTGAACGTCTTTTAGACATTCTTACTCTCACACTTCTCACGGGAAGTTTCATCAACTCGACATGCATTTTCAACGTTACGATAACGTGTTTTCTTCGTGAATTTGCATACCGTGCTTATCCGAACTTTCCATGCACTTCTTGCCAATCCTTGGGTTAGATGCACGACGATGCCAATCCATGCGCTTTGCATACCGTTATGACAGCATGTTTTCTTCTGGCCAATTCCGAGATTTTCCTATTCATCTTCCACACGCATGAATACCTTTTTTTGGTCAAAATATCGTTAGCCTAGATCACGGAAAAGACAAGTGTAAACGAAGAAGCGTCATCGTGGATAAGAACAACAGAAAAGACAGAAACGGAAGAATTGAAGGCCGAAACAAGCCACCAGATTCCACGCATCTCCACCGGTCAGCGGCGGCTTCCCTTCCGTAGATCCCGGCCCCCGCACCGTCGAGGAAGGCAGCTGAGCCCGAGCTAGTTGAACTGTAATTGGTCACTTTCCTGTTGATTTTGTCCTTTTCCTCAAACGAGCCGCTGACGTACGGACCAAACCGTGAGGTGGGGCTCCATCCGATGAAACCAAAAGCCAACACAAACGTTTGAGCGAACAAGCCGACAACCACCTCGGTCACAGTCACACTTCCCCTTCGAGTTCCGATGCTTCCCTGTGCGTTTCCTCCTTCTCTCTCCACGCTTTCGTCATGTCTCCCACCTCACGCCCCCATCCCAACATCTCTATCTAAATACGCCATGGCCATTGACTATCCTCTTCCCTCCCTCCCTCCAAATTCCACGCTCTCGCTCTGCAATCGATCGACCGCCATGTACTCTTAAGCTCGCCGGCGCCGCCGTCCCTCTCTGCCGCCGACCGGGCCCGTCTTGGTCTCGCCCCTCATGGACGCCGCGAGGCTCGCCTTATCCGACTCCAACGACATCGCCAGCAACAGCAACGGCAGCAGCATCTACTGCGCCCCGGCGACCGCCGCCGCCGCCGCCAATTCCGACTCCCCCTCCCTCGTCCGCCTCTCCGACCACCTCGGGTCCGTCTTCTCCGCCGAGCGCGGCGGCGACTTCGACTTCTTCGCCGACGCCAAGATCGCCCTCCGCGATGGCCGCGAGGTGCCCGTCCACCGCTGCATCCTCTGCGCGAGGAGCGCGTTCTTCCGGGGCGTGTTGACCCGAGGGGGGGCCACCAAGCTGGAGGTCAAGGAGCTGGGGAAGGACTACGAGATCGGGCACGACTCGCTCGTGGCGGTCCTGGGGTACCTGTACAGCGGCAAGGTGAAGCCGCCGCCGCTGGCGGTGCGCGAGTGCGTGGACGAGGAGTGCCCGCACGCGGCGTGTCGGCCCGCCGTGGACTTCCTGGTTCAGGTGCTCTACGCGGCTTTCACGTTCGAGATTTCTGAGCTGGTGGGTCTGTACCAGGTGAGGAATGGTTTCAACTTGTCCTCGGAATGATGAATCTTTGGATGATTTTCGTTGGCTTGGTGCTACTTATATGAGAATCTGCTGCATTTTATTTGGTTTCAACTGTTAATTGTCGTTGAATCTTAGAATTATATCCATATACCGAATGATGGTAGCTAATGGTTAGCGGTATCTAATTGGGCCTTCTCTGTGTGAGTGGATTTTCGAGGTGAGAGAGCTAAAAAATTTTACATTTGGAACAATTAATTCGAGGAAATGATAGTGTTGTTCTTGATTTATGTTTGGGGGGAAGACATGATGAACTGGAAGGTCCGCTATAAGTTGAAGAAACTTTTCTGCTGTCACCTTCTTATCCAGCAAAGATTTGCCCAGAAGGGTATAAAGTTTGGAAAAACTCTCTCACTTGCTCTGTAGTTTCCATCTCGGTGCACATCTTTGGTTAAAGAGCTTGAGTATTCTAGAAATCTTTTCTTCTCTGTTATTGGCTCTGCACAGATGTCCAAAGTGGCACAACGCAGTATCTTTTTTACTTCATGATCCTGAAGAGTAAAGGAGTAGATCATGCTTGTAAGTCTTGACTGCAGTATGACGCATCTATTATTGTTACTTGTCATGGTGATGTACTTGATCTCATCCTTTATCCACGTCGAGCGTTCTTGTTCTTGTTCTTGTCTTTTGACTGGAGAATGGTTTTGTTGAGACAGTTCTCATTGTGTTTTTAAATTGCAGAAGGACCTGCTAGACATTCTTGACAAGGTTTCCATAGACGATCTACTGGTAGTTCTATCTGTTGCAAATATGTGCAATAATGCATGTGAGGGTCTGTCAGCTCGTTGCATTGAGCTTGTTGTTAAATCGGATGTTGATGTTGTAACTCTAGACAGAGCTTTGCCCCATTTTATTGTTAAGCAGATCGTGGATGCCAGAATGGAACTTGGCTTGAAGAGACCCGAATGCGACAGCTTTCCTGACAAGCACGTGAAGAGAATACACAGGGCTTTGGATTCAGATGATGTCGAACTAGTCAGAATGCTACTTAGGGAGGCACATACTACTCTTGATGATGCATGTGCGCTCCATTATGCCGTTGCTTACTGTGATGCCAAGACTACCACCGAACTTCTTGATCTTGGCATTGCTGATGTTAATCAAAGAAATTCCAGGGGCTATACCGTTCTGCATGTTGCAGCATTGAGGAAAGAGCCCAAGATTATTGTGTCTCTATTAGTAAAAGGAGCCCGGGCATCTGACCTCACTTTGGATGGTAGAAAAGCACTTAAGATATCTAAGAGGCTCACTAGGGCCGCGGATTACTATAAATCAACTGAGGAAGGAAAAGCTTCTTCCAGGGAGCGACTGTGTGTGGAGATATTGGAGCAAGCTGAAAGAAGAGATCCTTTACTAGGAGAAGCTGCTCTTTCTCTTGCTATAGCAGGGGATGATCTGCGCAAGAAATTGTTATACCTGGAAAATAGAGGTGACTTTCTTGTTTCCCCTTTGTCTTCGATGTAAACATGCACACCAGTGAGCATTGTGAATGTTTCTGTATATGCATGTATAGGCACATCATTGCATATGTTTGTCACATTTGAGCTGTTGTTGCTTGCTAGAGATCACTGTTTGGGTTGCGTGGGAAAATCGCTCAAAAGTTACACTTGATGGTGTCAATACATTCGTAACCTTACGAAAAAAGAAGAACTAAGTAAATTGGTTTAACACATCTATCTTTGATTGGGTAATAGAGTATGTGCCAAATACGTAAACAATTTGGATTTTCTTCGGCATAACTTTCCTGGTAAATCATAATAACCTCATTTATGTGACCCCGTCTTGGATGCACAAACATCTGATGTTAGACGAATTCTGTGGTCCATGAATTAGTCGCAGTATCTAGCTGGTATGTTGCTGGAAACGTGATTAATTAGTTGAATGAAATCTGTTTTGAATTGCAAAATTAAGCGACTAAGAAGCAGACCAGAAATTAGCAGTAGCCAGACTATACTTTGTTCGGTTACTCTTACTTTTTCCTGGACATTGGTTGATCGATGTAAAACAGTAAATGAGAGCAGGCCAATAATAGAAAGAATTCAGGTGAGGGTTCATTCAAAAGTATACAAGACATGACACGGGTGTTCATCAGGCACTTAATAAGGCATGGGAAGTGTATGAAGAGCACTGCTTTTTCTGTTTTCATTGGGTTTAAATTCTGAAGGCATTATAACAAAGCAAGGCGAGTAAAATTTTGGGTACTCGATATATCTTAGTCTTTGTTGTTCAAATATCTGACGGTGATTCTCACCCATGTTTCATTTGTCAGTTGCACTAGCTACACTACTCTTTCCAATGGAAGCTAAGGTGGCAATGGATATTGCTCAAGTAGACGGCACTTCTGAGTATCCTTTGGTAAGCATCGAGAATTTGGCTCGTAAACAAGGGGCAAATATGGATTTAAATGAAGCTCCTTTCAAAATCCAAGAGGAGAATCTGAACAGGATGAGAGCGCTCTCCAAAACAGGTAATACTCCCTTTGCATTGAAGTTAGCTAATCTCTAGGGTTAACGCAGTTGGTTGGGGTGTTGCAGATTTCTAGCACAGCTCTTGGTTAGGGTCACCAGCACAGATCAAAAGCCTGGACTTAACCGGTTCATGGGGTTTACAGGGTGTTTCTTCAATCTTTAGGTAGCGGGGTCTTCATATGTCGGATCAAAAAAAAAAAAAAAATCAAAATAAAGAATTGGACTTAGCTTGTGATGATAATGCATTGATACCCCAGCATCGTGAAAATGCACTTCTCATAAACTCGTCAGGTCTAACAAACGAAAAAGTAGCCTTATTAGGTAATGTTCTTTCTCCGAATTCTTATATAGCCAAGCTGACATCTTTTAGCACCAAAAAAGGTGACATCTTCATAATGGTGATTGTTCATGAGTTAATACCCATAACTTAGGCTCCTCTTTTTGATAATTGCTTATTCGACGTTGGACTCTACAATGCATACGACTAGTTCTTGCCCAAACATGACCAATATGTATACGTTTGAACTATTTAATTGCATTTCTTCCTAATGGGCCTATTTCCTTCATTTTTGTGAGCAGTGGAACTTGGAAAGCGCTTCTTTCCTCGATGCTCAGCTGTAATCAATAAGATCATCGATACCGATGACTTGTCATGGCTGGCAACTGTTGGGAATGACACTCCAGAGGAACGGCTTCGTAAGAGGCAAAGGCATATAGAAGTTGAAGAGGAGCTGACTGAAGCTTTCACTCAAGACAAAGAGGAGACTGATAAGTCTAGTATATTGTCTTCTTCGTCATCAACTTCGATTAGTTTCCTGAAGCCTAATGGTAAACTAACGACTAGTGACCATTAGCGACACTGCGAGATTTAAGATGCCAAAAGACATCTTTCTCATTGTACAATATTCCAATTCTTTCCTCCTGGCATGGTTCCACAGTTTTCCCATGTAATGTATCTTTATAGCCAGTCGTTTCAATAGACGCAGCATAATGTAAGTACTCATCTACACAGCGAATAGGTGAGGACTGATATACATATACGCAGATGATTGTCTTAGGAATAATTATCAGATCTTTTGGCTGGTTGAAATTTTTTTTACAGATGTAACCAGGTAATTAAGAAGCTGTATCTTCACGGTTGTGAGAGATGTCCTCAGAAAGATTACTCATCCATCGGTCCCGACAGCTCACTCTTATGTCTGCATCAACTTGGCTCTAGTATTTTTCCCGTTCCAACTGGTATATATGCAATTTGTCCAGATAAAATACATTAGTTCTGATAAGGGGTTGCATTGGTGTAAATATCGCCTTCATCTTATTTTATATGTACTTCGATGAATTGCGCATCCTTCATAATGAAAACCAGAGCATTTAGGTTGGAGAAATGCGAGGATGTTGTAGAGGGATCAGATCACAAATCTAATCTAAATCTGCCTGTGCAATGGTCTGTCTGCCTGGACAAATCCCTTGTCAAATCTCATCAACCTAACTTGGACCAATCTTTATATGCGGGTTTGCCTCTTTTGGTAAGATGAGATCTCTTCGAAAGCGACCTTTTGCTCCTACATCAGCTTCCCTTTGCTTGAATATTTAGATTGAAGTTTCCAGTGAGAACCAAAAAGCATCCACCCTTTGAAAGGCATTTCATAATGATAACAATCGGGAAAGAGGATGGACCCAGAAGTATTATATGCTTTGTCAGATTGTTAGGAAGCATCTTTAGTTGACTAATCCTGTCCCCCATTAGGTATGCTCAGAACTCACTCCCATGCGTGAGCGCAACGAAACTCGTTTCTCATCCACAAATCTCGTCCCAAATCCGCAGAAAAGATTACAGTGTCTGAAAACTTGAGTCTTGAAATTTAGGCTATGTGATCGGGCAAAACTGAATGAACGTCAGTGGAACTCGGTAAAAAGCTCATTGTTATATGATGAGGTACTGCCATACAATACTGCATATATCTATTAAACAAAGCTGTGCAAACTTAGCGGTATTGTAGAAGTAAAGACTTAGTGAACTTGCTAAAGTCTAAGAGGTCCTATCACACTGGTATTTACATATAACTCTGCAACAGAGCTGTGTAACTAAGAGCTAATGGACTTTGCTAGAATCTCACAAACTATGCACAAGTCGGAAGAATGGTCTTTTAGACATTTTTGAGCCTGCAACTTCCGGAACCAGCTCATGCACTCTAGAGCAAAGTCTAATTTAACCCTTCCAAGGGAGAAGAACCTCCCATCTGTACATCTTTGCGGGTCGAGAAAAGATCACACGGCGGGCGAAGGCATTAATGCCACGGGTTGCTCCTTGAGTTCGTTCACTCCGCCCCGCTCGCGTGGCTCCCCAATCAGATACTCCAGTTCCAAGTATATGTTACTGTCATCGATGGCCAGTTCTTCGCTGATCTCTCCTTCGGCAATCAGGCTACTGTCATCGAGCAGCTTCTCCGACATTGCATTATAGACTCTGGACGCATCCCCGTGCAGCATCACATCATCGTACTTTAGTTCAAGTGCATCAGTAAAATTCTCAGTTGACGCCGGATTTGCAAACCCATCTGGCTTCTGATCCACACACTCCGATAAAATCCCTTTCTGGCCATCTCCACAAGCACCGAACTCATCGTCATTGTTCCCCTCAAAGTCGCACCAATTGGGGTCAGGGTCGGAGGCGAGGAGCCTCCTTTTCTTGATGAATTTGCCTGCGTCAATCTCTCTGCTTGGCTTCCTCTTCTGAGCCAGCCGCTCCACAAAATGGGGGTTCCTCACTGCTTTGGCCAGGAAGAGGTACATCTGCTGGTGCCGGCACTCCACGCGCCGAATCCGATCTTCGACAACGCCAATTTCGCTCAGTGAACACTCCTGTTGCTGCCTCAGTTCAAGAATTTCCGACTTCAGTGTCTCCCGATCTTCCTTGAGTGTCAGAATTTCGGATTCCACTTCTGTTCTTTGAGTATCCATCTCCGTTCTTCGAATATCCTCGGGAATTGTGGGTCCTCGTTGCTTCTTGGCGATTCTGCCTCTTCTCTTGATGTTCTTGAGCAATTGCTTCTTCCCTCCCCGAAAGCCTTCGTTTGCGAATTCCCACCTGTCTGGATCAATTTTCCTGAAACCCTGAGGCACAGACAATGATTCTATCATCCAGAAGTGGAAATTCAACCAAGATATACCCACCGTAGGCCTCAAAGGACAAGAACCATCCAATCTCCGAACAATATTAACATTGAAAAAAGACCTGTATCCTAAGGAGAAATTCAAACTAAGATAAAAACCAGCGACTGCTCATGTGCAAGTACAGATTATAATGTCGAGAAAGGAAGATTCAAATTACTCACTCCCTCCAATCTCGTCGCAAATTATAAACACCACTTCCGAAAGGCCTTTACAACGAGTCATGGCACTCATGAATACAATCAATGCATCCGGAAAGAGCAGTTCTTTAAAGAAACTGAGAACCGTAATAACAGCGAAAAAAATTCAAAAGAAGAGTGAATCTGAGCTCACATAAGTGTTGAGCTGGCGAATGAAGCTAGAGAAGTTCTGGTGCTTGAAGTATTTGGGCAAGAGGTCCTTGGAAAACTCGTGCTGGTCCCAAACCACGAAGCTGTCCCGGTTCTCGCTCCACGACACCACCGAGTCCGTCTCCGGGTCCTCCACCATCTCGAACGTCTTCTTCAAGAACGGCGGCGGCCCCGCCTCGTTCAGCCCCTCCATCGGCCTCGGCGCCCCCTCAGGCGGTGGCGGCGGCGGCGGCGGCGACGTCGAAGAACAGGAAGACGACCCGTTGTCCCCATTGTTGCAGACGGCGACGTGGTCCATCACCATCTCTGCGTCCTCCGCTCCTTCTTCTTCGCCGACGACGTGCAAGCCAGAGGACGAGCTGGAAGAGCACGGCTTCTCATCCCTCGCGCGGCCACGACCGACCGCACCACCACCGCTATCGCCATCAAAACCAGCCTTTCCGTTGACGGTCGCCCCTGTTTCCGTCACGGGCTCTTCTCGCGAGACACCCGCCGGAACCGAAGCGCCCGGCACGCCACCGCCGACGCCGGCCTCCCCCGCCACCATTTTCGGCCAGCTGTTTCGCGGTGGTGGGTGGGGGGAAAGAGGAGAGGAAAGTGCCGCTGGCGTTTTGCGTCTTTCGGTTAAGGGGGTGAGGATGGAGCTGGGTGGGTGAGTGTAGTGAGTGTAGTAGCTGTGGCGTGTCGCGTGAGGCGAGGCTTATGTAGAAAGACGGAGTGTCGGAGCCTCGCCACGTCCAGCTTTCGGACAGAGATGTTGCCATCTGTGGAGTGATCGTGCAGTCGGTTCGGTCTCACCGTATTTTGTCGCCACCCACTTCGAGTCCCTCGAGAACGTGTGAATTCCGATTTAGCCCCCCCGAATTCAATTCTTTTGTGCATTTTGGCCCGATTTTCCACCAACCAGTTCAATGATGAGCATGCACTGATCCCTAAATTTTCATGTTAATTTCTCCATATCTCACCCCCGATATTAGGATTTTCCACTTTAGAGCATATTTATTTTGCGAAAAATGAATGAGATGAAAGTGATTTTTTTTTTCAAACGATCGCTTGTATCGCTTGAAATGATTGATCGATAAAATATGTTTTCATTATCGACAATAATTATGTCTATATATTTTTATTCGTTCATTTTTATAAGCGATACAAATAATTATTTTGTGAAAAATATTTTTCAAATTACTTATTTTTCGCGAAATAAATCGAAAATAACTCTTTTCATCTAAATGGACATCGAAACCGATGACGTGGTTAGGAATTTATGTTTGATTACATACATATAGAACTAGACACGTGACTATCAACCTATCCACAAGTTATTGCGTTCCTGTTGATAATCGGCTTCCTTTCATATCGTTACCGGAACAATGAAAGCGATGGAGGAAAATTGTTAATTATGACCAAGGTGAAATCGCGTCGAACTCAAATTAGCTATGTCTTTGATGCTAAGGGTGATTTTACGACAGAACCGGGAATTGAACCCGTTTCGATTCGATTACAAGTTCTGATGGGATTCCGTCCGATTCTCGATTTCATATTTTTCGGAACCTATACTATTGGTTCGGTTCTCAAGTAGGAACTGGACCGAGAACCTAAAACCAGACCACCTACGTAACCTTAAAATAGAAATTGATATACATTATACGGTATTGATGAGGGTTGTGAGGCAAAGGCTTAAGCGAAGAAAAGAATTTCCTTCTTCTCCGAGAGTGACTCCTTGGCTTCCATTCATGGTATTTGGCATGAATAAAGAGTTCATGTTCTGACCTCCAGAACTTTACATCAATTATGCGTGCAATGAGCCAATAAGGTCTACGAGGGTATTCCATGCATCGTTATGTGCTTTTGCATCTTGATGAGATGCAGTAACTCATCGTCAAAAATTGTCAGCTCTAGCTATCTACTCCTCAAACTCGCCGTCATCGGCTTGAGATCTAGTGTTACCCACCGCGAACAATGTCCTACAGATCTCGCCCAAGTAAGCACGGCCCAGGATTGGCCGGTTCCAGAGTAGATCCCACGACTTGTAATCGGGTAGGTCCGGGTTCGAACATTTAAGGAATCGATCCCAACAGGGTAAGTTCCAGGACCTTGAAAACCCATCCCGAATTCACTCGCTCCTCCTATACGAGGCACTCCTTAACAAGATCTTTTAAGAAGACTTCGGAGATCGTTTCACGAGGGATGGGATGGGCCGGGCCGGTCCGGGCCGAGCCCAACTGATCGGGCTGGCCCGATCCAGAGCCGTCGGCCCAAGACGGAGCAGCGGTTCGTCTCCCTCGCGAACCACGAGGCGACATTCGCAAACGCGAAGACCCCCAGAGAAGAGCGAGAGAGAGAGAGAGAGAGAGAGCCAGTGACTGAGAGGAGTTCAAAAGCGAGGGAAAACCGAAAAAACTCGCACCTCGCGGAGACGCACGAACCCTATATTCACTCCCTCCGCGTCCCCCCACCCCCCCTCTCTTCCCATTTCCTCCTCCCCTCCGTCGTCTCCGAGACTGGCTCCTCCGCCCCCGCCGCCGCCGCCGCGACGGCGCGTCCGCAGTAGACGCCGCCCCGCCGCCCGGACGTGCCGCCACCCCTCCGTCTCCTCCCCGCTTTCGCCGCCCTAATCATCCCCGCCGACGCCGCCGCAGCAGCCCGCGCCCGGTGGCCATGGCGAGGCTCTTTCGGGGCGCGTGCTGTCTCCGGCGCCACCTGCTCCAGCTAGAGGTACGTCCACGAGAGGCGCGCTTCTTGCTTCTCGCCCCCTATTCGTTCCGCCTGCGATTTCTATTTTCTTTTTTTTTTTTGGCCGTGCGTCGATGGTGAAGTTTCAGTTTTGCTAGCGTTCTCGCGGTCTGAAGTGCGATTCAACTCTTTTTGCACGAGCTGCTTGGTTTCTCACTTGGATCGTTCGCTTTGTTGTTGTTGCGATCGCGCTTCGCAGGGCCGTAGAACGGGGGCTTTGGGCTCGTATTCCCAGCTTTGTAACTTTTCTTCCAAAGGTTAGCTTCGCTGACCTCTTCGCATGGTTTGACTTCTAAATGCTGGTACTGTTGGTCCTTTGATGTGATTCGGTGAGATATGGTTCATGGAAGATGGATACTCTGACAATCCTGGGCAATCTGGGCTAATTACAAGTCACTTTTCCCAGCAGTGTGAACAAGCTGAGGGATAGCTTGTTCACAAGGGATATATGCTTGTTACTTTGGTTGAGAGCCTGGTGCAGTATTCCTGTCTCTACATTACCTTCCAACAAGTGCAAGTGCTAACTGCTTGTGTGTCCATTTCGATCAGTTGTGCATATTCTATACCGCACGAGATTTCTTTTGAACGAAAAGTTTGGTTTCCGGATTGTGTGCTATCTATTTGAATTGGTTCTGTAAAGAAAATAAAATTTTCTTTATCTGTTGTGAAGGTAGGAAAAAATCGAAATCCGACAGTAGTGACTCTAATGACGAAAATCTGTCTAAGAAGGACTTGGCCCTTCAACAAGCCCTGGATCAGATCACTTCCTCCTTCGGAAAGGGATCGATTATGTGGCTCGGCCGATCTTCCTCTCCCAGACATGTCCCGGTGATTTCCACCGGTTCTTTTGTTCTGGATATAGTTCTCGGTACTGGTGGATTTCCAAAGGTATCGACTCGTAGCCATCTATTCAGTCTTTCGTTAGTTACAGAATTGATTTATTTGATGTTGAAGGTCTCTATTTATGATGCACCTCTGTTTGCTAGAGGTAGGTCCTCAGACTCACAAAAGATATGGTATTTGAGTTCTTTAGGGGCGTGTTGTGGAGATATATGGTCCTGAGGCGTCTGGAAAAACAACTCTGGCATTACATGTAATTGCTGAAGCTCAAAAACTAGGAGGTAAATACTGTTTTGTGTTTTTGGATGGTTTTGTAAAGTTTCTCGAGCAGATCATTGCAAATGTGCGTTGATGCTGTAAAAAATTTGTCCACCATTGTTCTGCTTTTTTCAGTTTCTTGTAGCACACAGTTCTTTTCAATATCTTTGACGATTAGTTGTGGCGAATGGCTACCACGGCACCTTCTTGTCCACTTGAACAACATGTGCAGATACAGTAAAAGATTCTTCCTTATTTAAAAGAGTATAACAAGAAAGAGCCGTTTTTGTGTTTTTAGGTCTTAAAGAATTGTATTGTGCTTCCTCCCTGGTTTTGTCGAGATTTGCTTTCATTTACTTAATATCTTCTACAGGATGTTAAAGCTTCTGCTTACGTTGAATTGTTTAGGTCACTGTGTATTTGTTGATGCCGAGCATGCTCTCGATCCAGCACTTGCAGAGGCCATTGGCGTAAAGACTGAAAACTTGCTATTGTCTCAGCCAGATTGTGGCGAGCAAGCTCTAAGTCTAGTTGATACTCTCATAAGAAGTGGTTCTGTGGATGTCGTTGTTGTCGATAGTGTAAGTAACGTGCTTCTTTTTATGGGTCTCAACGTCAATGCTTGAGAATTCCTTGTAATGACTGTTTTCTTTCTTTTTCCAAGTTCAGTGGTTTACTTTGGGGACCTTTTTTTTAAATTTTTTATTTTCAATTGGCTCTCGCTGGATGCACTTTAGATGAGCATGTCTATGGGAAAGAAATCTCTTACCGCTCTTTTGCACCGAGTGTAGGTTGCATGGGCACATATATTTGTGTTTGAGTGCATTTACAAGATTGACGAGCCACAGTTAAAATGTCAGGTAGCTGCTCTTGTCCCCAAAGGTGAACTCGATGGTGAGATGGGTGATGCACACATGGCAATGCAAGCTAGATTGATGAGCCAGGCGCTTCGCAAACTTAGTCATTCTCTATCACAATCACAGACTATCTTGATCTTTTTAAATCAGGTATAATCTTTAGACCTCATAACTGATTCATAATTGCTGGCATTTATCTCCTTATCTATGTAAGCCGATGTTTTCTTTTCTTTGCATGTGCCAGAGCCTTAAAAGTATATATAGTCACCATGTCGTTGCCATTAGGATGTGAAATTTTTTGTCCTTGTGCTTGTTAGAGCTTGAATTTATTATTAGGCTTGAAGGTTTAGCTAATATAATTTGCCATGGACTGCAACCTTGTTTGATTGGAGCAATCAATTAGATATGGTCAGGCTCATAAAGGACTTTTAGCAGATACCACTGAGATTTTCCAGATGACATAAGTGTTTAACTCCAGTTGATTTTAGATGTGTATGCCTTCTTTTTTTTTTTTTATCTTTGTTACAATTACCGTGCATATTTGCTGTTAGTTCAATAAGTTATCTGAACCCTTTAGCTTCATCTCAATTCAGGTGAGATCAAAGCTCTCCACTTTTGGGGGATTTGGTGGTCCCACTGAAGTTACTTGTGGCGGTAATGCATTGAAGTTCTATGCCTCGGTGCGCCTACATATACGGAAAATAGGGCTTATAAAGAAGGGGGAAGAGGTAACCTGCAAATTGACGCATATGATCCATCGATATCCCTGAATTTTTCTTTATTTGAGCTGGAAATCTTTCCTCTTTGACCAATCACTTAATACAATGATTAATGAGCAGTATTGTTTTAAAAGCAAGAGTTGCATTCAGTGTCTTACTGCGTTATATTTATTTCTGACAGTCCCATTATTCCTTAATAACTTCCACCAGAAATGGACATAAAAAATGTAGATGATTCCATCAAATTGAAGTGTGTTGTTTGGTTTCGGGTGAATAATTGAAATTTATCTTAATATACAGTGGCAAATGAGTTTGGCACTTAAACGTATGGTCTTTCATTTCCGGTGGTTTTACTTTAGTTGCATCTAATGTAAGCAGGATGGGATACTCCTATTTGGAGATTAAAGAAAGAGTGTTTGTGCGTTAATAGCGTCTATTTTGTGGATCTATTTTGGGACAAATCCAGTTCCAGATGCTCTGTGCTATACAGCAGGTATCAGGGGTTTCATTCCTCTAAGCATAGGAATGAGCTAATCAATTTATGTAGTCAAATTAAACATAGTACCAGCTCCATCTTTTTATATATTTGAATGTTCAAAATATGTTGCCTGGACATATTTGTGGGTTCTGTTCGTGATCCTTGTATTGTTAACCAGTACAGTGGGAATAATTTTGTGAAGCTTGATAGGAGGTGCTCCGTTCTTGTCAACATATGGTTCTCGGTTCATATTTTCCACCACTTAGAATATTGTTACTGGTCTTTTTGCAGACTGTAGGAAGTCAAGTACAGGTGAAAGTTGTGAAGAACAAGCTAGCTCCTCCATTTAGAACTGCTCAGTTCGAGTTGGAATTTGGCAAGGGGATATGCCGCATCTCCGAGATCATTGATTTGGGATTAAAGCACAAGTTCATCACTAAGGCTGGGGCCATGTACACTTTGAATGATCGAAGTTTTCGTGGCAAGGAAGCTTTGAAAGGGTTCCTGAATGGAAATGACATTGAGCGCGAAGAACTTATGATGAAACTCAGGGAGAAGCTTCTCGTTGAGACAGAAAAGGAGTCGGATAAAGAGGCTGCGGATGGAGAATCTTCTGAAGAAATTATCTCAGCTGAAACTACTGATGAAGAAGCAGCTACTGCGGTTGGAGCGTGAGTCAGTTTGTATGTAGAGGTTTCCCACTGTAATACCTCGATGGCTTTTTGCCTGCCATATTTTATCTACAGCTGATTCTTCTGATCATTTGGTAGTTGGGGTGGTCGTTGGACCTTATTCAATCGGTAAAGGTACCTTTGTGCTTCCCGCAGCTCCAGCATTACTATCTGAAGTCGCGACAATCATGGTCTTGTAAGTTGTATCGCTGCTGGAAAGGTTGTATCGTTATAGGTGTATCATATTGTCATGGGTTGTGTGATTGGTCAAAGTTTTGTGGGCTGGAAAGGAGTTGATCATCTGAATGCAATTCGAGTTTAATCTGAGGATTGGCTTGTTTCGCGCAAGATGAATGATTTCGAAAACTTGCTCAAAATTTGCTTCGGTTATTAAGGGCATAAGCCATTTTTCGCAAGATTCGCAGCTGTTGTGTGCCTTCTATTTCCATCAAAATCACGGCGGAGAGACGCTATGAACTCGTGTATGTTGGGGAACTGAGAACCATTTGGTCTTTGGTGAATTTGGGAACCCTCCAAAGAATCCTTGCTTCAATTTGGGTAGAAGTGGAAAATTTCAGACAATTAGATGTTGCCGCTGGAATGAGCATGTGAGTCGCACGTGCAAGCCAGCCAGCGAAGATTAGGTGATCAGTGGGCTCGAGCTTTTGCTTGAGATTAATTTTGTCGCTTTAGATTTTATCGAGACAAAATTTACCGTGGGCTCTCAATTCGATAACAGAAGATTAATATAACCACTTTAAATCCTTAATTAAGACGAAATACATCCTAAATCCTTTTTCAGGAGAATATAGACCCACTCCATTTTCTTTATATGAAATATTCATCGTCAAAGCGATGGACTATGACTTTTGAGTCGGGATTTCCACGCAGAGCGACGCCGACCAAAGCCTCGTAAGTTGTCCTCCCTCCCCTACTTCCTCGGAGCTGATGATTCAGGTTTCGATGACAAATGCTTGTTCCTTGATGCAATTTCAATCTCCAGCGTTCAATTCCATCCCCCCGTCGCTCTCGATTTCGTCTCCGTCCAAGAAGAACCGCTGTTCCCCGAAGATCTTCCTGAACCGATCTCCGATCACCTCGCCGAGCAAGCCAAAGTTCGCGGCGACGCTGAGGATGGCTCAGTCCGCTCACACCTCAGGTAAGCTTCAGCTCACTAGGGGAGCTTCGTTCGGCATTCGGGCATGCGAGTAATTTGGAGTTCCTGTTCATACATTTCGGTCTCGTCTACGTTGTGCTCATCGTGCGGCTTGTCTCGTTTTGTGATGGGGTACTCTTAACTCTCGATCATGTAGCTGTTTCGAAGTGAAAATCTGTTTAAGCATGACTGATATTTTTTCAAGTCATTTCGGTTAGTGTTGGAACTCGTATGGGTGGAAGCACTCATTGGTTGTCTGGGGAAGATGCTTGATTCTCAATGGTGTCAGCATCTAGTGCTGAAATTTTTTTTTACTTTACGGTCGATATTCTGCTCGTGCATATGGTGAGCGGCGGTATTAACTCGTTAAGTTTTCTGTATTCAGTTGTTCAGCAGCAGAGAGTCGTGATTCCGAACAAGCATGGGGAGAAACTGGTGGGGTTGTTGCATGAGACTGGATCTTCGGAGATTGTGATCCTCTGCCACGGCTTCCGGTCTAGCAAGGTGCAGTGATTTTATAAATTCGGAAAATGACAGAAATAAGATTATGTAGAAGCTGCGACACTGTTTGCTGCTGCGATACAGCGACTTCCTTTCCTCGGTAAAATTGAAAGTCCTGCAACCGAGCTTTTTCTTTCTACCTGTTCTCCAGGAAAATGACACGACGGTGAATCTTGCTGCTGCTTTAGAGAAGGAGGGTATTAGTGCTTTCCGCTTTGACTTTGCTGGCAACGGGTATGCTGAAATATACTCATTAATCCATTTATGAGAGAGAGAGAGAGAGAGTCGTACTAAGATTTAGTTCAGCTAGATGCTGATTCTGGTCTTTAGTTGTAAATTTTAGTAGTAATTTTTCTGTTGTTCCTTTACTCAAACTTGGATAGCTTGACTGCTATTTCAAATGTCCTTTTAGGCATCTCTTTACTTTAATTTCCCTCCCCTTGGTAAATCATTTAGCTATGGAAAAATCAAACCGTACCTCCCCTGCTTGGTCTTGTCAATATTCTCTTTTTCAGCTCATTGTCAGAAGAAACCTTCTTACTATTGGCAATCCCATACAATCGTGGTCGTCTTACCCGCTGTGAATATTTGCCCAATATAACACAGTTGGGTGATGTGTCTATGATATTTAATTTGGGCTTTATGAGGTCGTAGTTGTACCATCTGGCCCAGATGAAAGTGCGGCTACTAAGAGACTGATCATTTTAGCGGTCTTGATCATTAGGACTCATGCTCAAATCTGAAAGTGTAATCAGTATTGATGGCTTATAGTTATGTCTAAGGTGATTGATTTGATCTTGGTGTAAGTTTTTGGGGACTGGACACAAGTTAGACAGGAAAGCAGTTCTTCCTTCTATGTATCCTTTCCTTTTGCCTTAACACTCTTATAAAATTTGTGCTTTCTAGAGAGAGTGAAGGAACGTTTGAATACAGTAATTACTGGAGAGAAGCTGATGATCTTCGTGCTGTTATTGAGCACTTCAATGGAGCTAATCGGGTGACCAGTGCAATTGTGGGGCATAGCAAAGGTTTGTGAAATCACCAACAGTTTCTTTGATTTTTCTGTTTTTGGGGAGGGAATAGCTCATCCATAGTTTGAATGGATTTTTGATGTGCACTTGCTTCTGCCTCCTGGTGTATCAAAAAATATACATCCATGCCTGCCAAATGCGTGCGAACATATGTGAAATCTGCATGATAGACAACAGCCCAAATCTTTTCACTTGGCGAATTAGCTGGGGTCAATTAATTTATTTGACCTTCTCAAGTTTTGAATACGTCTTGCTAATGTTGTTGCAGGAGGCGGTGTAGTTCTTCTTTATGCTTCTAAGTATCATGATATACATAATGTTGTCAATGTCTCTGGCCGTTATGATTTGAAGGGAGGAATTGAAGATCGCTTGGGCAAAGATATCATGCAAAGAATTAAGGAGGATGGATTCATTGATGTTAAGAATAAATCAGGTATTCATTCATCGAATACTTGCACCTTCTACATTTGTTCCTTTTTTTGAACGAAACAAGTGGCACTCTTTCTTTCTAGGAGTTTTTCCCAGTGTTACCTAGTTCGCGGTTCAATTTCGTATGTGCAACGAAGAGGGGAAAGTGGAACATTACGTTTTCGAATGTGGTACAAAGGGGATAGGCTTCTTAGGAACACTTTTCCATAACGAAAATCGAACACTTGGATCTGGAACATTTTTAAAGCTTGAACTTGAGTAATTTAAATATATTATGTGTTTATCTCCTCTTTACAGTCAAATCGCATATAGTATGTTTTAAGAGCACGTCAAATCATAGGCAGTATGTAGTTGGTAAAAAAAATTATACATAGTATGTTTTTATAGATTATGGCGTGCCTTATCTTCCTTAATTTCATCTGGAATGCTCGGAACACCAATCTAGTATTCCAAGTCGCTGGTGAACCGCAAATTGGAATGCACGTAAACTTTGCCAATCGCTGCTGTTTGAGCGAATTATGGGAACCCTGGTTTTTCCACAGAGGATGGGGTCTAGCTTTGTTGGTTCTTTCATCGTTGCCTTTGTCAAGAAGTGACTTCAATGGCAAATTAGTTTCCTTTTGGAATTCAGAAACAATAATTCTTAATTTGTCGATAGAGAAAACTAAATATGAACTCGGCTAATTTGTTGGTAAGTTTGATGTGTGGCATTTCCATCCTTGAATTAATGTGGGCATGAGGAATCGTCACAGATTCTTCTAAGTTCTATTTCTGCTTTTTGCAGGAACTATTATTTATCGTGTTACACACGAAAGTATGACGGATCGCTTAAATACCAATATGCACGAAGCATGTCTTAAGATCGACAAAAATTGCAGGTAATATTTTCTAGATGGTACATGATGATACTATTCTAATAACTGTCTCGTAATACTTATTGATTTCTAATGATGATTTCTAGTAAATCCTTGCAATGAATTCATCCTAATAGGACGAAGAAATAACTTAATCCTGTGAAGATGAAGCCTCTCATTTTTACTGTTTTATTTGGTAACCGAGAGCTGTTATAGCTGTTATGAGACTACTTTCGGTCCTTACTGCCCTGTCCCAGAACGTAAAGCTATAAAGGATGCCAGACGAATATGTCCTGTTTCATATTCCAGCTTGTTTATAAGGCAAAGAAATGCAGGTTATTTTCTACCATACATGATTACTGAAACTTTGATACAGGGTTTTGACGGTTCATGGATCTGCTGATGAAATTATCCCAGTAGGGGATGCACTAGAATTCGCAAAAATCATACCCAATCACAAGCTGCAGATTGTAGAAGGAGCCGATCATTGTTATACCTTACATCAGGCAGAGTTGACCCCTATTGTATCGAGTTTCATAAAGCAAGCATTGGAGGAGGACAGAAAGAAATCCAGCAAATAGTGAGGTAGCCTCGTGCCTGATTGTCAGAGAAGATCTTTGCTCGCATTACGAATGAGATAGCAAAGTCAAGGCTTTCAACTTATTCCTGATTATCAACTTAGGTGTGTAGGTACCATGCAAAATCGTTTGCGATGCAACTGAAGATAGCCAAAATATGAGCGCACTATTGGAAGTTAATATTCCTTACTTTGTCCTATTGAGAATCGTGATGCGAGCATTAATTGTACTATTATGAATTGTCCATTCTTATAATGGTGATTCATCTCTATCTAGCTTAACTATGTAAGTATTTTCTTTTTCCGCATTTCAGAGTCTTATCGGCAATGTAGTCTTAGCTTTTGCAAAAACAGTCATGTGATATTGACAATGTTGTATTAAAGTGTCGGGCCGATTGTTTGGATCGGTGACACCAAACTTTCTTCTCAAGAATCGATTGCTCGTTCACTTGCTCGGATAGGAAGAAAGTAAGAGAGAAGCTTGCTCGGATAGGAAGAAAGTAAGAGAGAAGCTTTGGGAGGGAATGTTTCTATTGCTGAAATGTTTGGATGGATACAAATGAGGGAAGAGTAACCCTACTTACATTGGAGGTCTTATTATTACAACCGTTGATGCCTTTTCGATCTTAGGTGGAGATGGGATCTCTTCATCCACCAACTACCAACACTTATGACGAGAAGACTCTAGAATTCGATACATTTACCGTTTCACCAACTTCTAAGAATGTTCCAGAAATTCTAGGAGATTTGATGTGATGCTCCAGAACGTCAATTACTAATACGTGCTCTTTAATCTTTTCTCTTAATTACGCAAGCGGAAGCCAATTTCATAATCGTTCGTGTCCAGCTTATCAAGACAAGGCGCGAGTATCGTATGATATCATTTTCATTTCATATTCACATGACAGGGTCATTACATTCCTACTTTCACATCTTTCTTCCATATATCAAAATACTATTAACAAATGCCTGGGAGGGGCCAAATAATGCCTATACTCCTCTACCCGACTGCCTCGTCTCATCAAAAAATGATATGTTTATACAAAAAAAACTCCATAGACCATGATGACTCACCTATCTACTCATCGTCGTCGCTGTCATCCCAAATCGAAGGGGTTTGAGGAGATTGCCGTCAAGGTTAATATACCATGCCACAAACCGGATCCCGGATGCCTTATATCGACCCAAACAGTAGCCGTGCACCGTGTGAACGTCATGGTGGACTCAGGGATGTCCACGTCCTCGAAGTAAATGGGCACTCCGTAACGTGCATGCTAAGTATATGAAAAACAGTAGGATGAACATAAGCCCGACAAGCGAAATAACTAAGTTCTACACCACAAGATGCCCCACCACACGGTCATGAGATTCGTCCAAGACAAAGCAAGTATAGGGCTCGATACTAACACTATTGAGACGACTACGAGAACAACTAAGGACTCCCGTACATGTGGACCGAGTTGGACCATACAAGAACATCAACACAAGAACCAAAGCATGCATCACGAACACAAAACCACACAATCGCACACGAACTCACACGCCTTGTTTCTTAAACTTTCTTGTGATCTTTTCCTCCCCCGACTTGCGGATTTAGCGTTTGGTTGTTCCATGCTCATTTGCCTCTAAAGTCCTTGGCAAATGCAAATGGCGTTTGCAATTTTTTTACTCACTTTGGAGATGCAATCACATTTTCAATGCTCATTTGGCCAAAGCACCTTGAAAGGTCCATTGGGAATGCTCATTTTCGAAATGCAATTGGTACATTCCTGGCTGTTCATCTTCTCCTCGCGCTCCGGCGGCCGGCGCCGCCGCCCGAGGGCTAGCCCGACCCGGCGACCACCGCCGGGTCGCGCGACACCGGCGGCGCTGGGGTCGCCGACCTCGGAGTCGCCTTGGTCGCTCGACCTCGGCGGCCGAGGTCGAGCGACCCACGCGTCGCGGGTCGCGCGACCTACCCGCCGCCGGGTCGCTCGACCGGCGACCGCCGCGGTCGCTCGACCTCAGCGACGGACGCGGTCGCGTGACCCGGCGACGCCGCGAGGTAGCGCGACCCGGCGGCGTCGCTGGGTCGCGCGCGCACGCGGTAGCTCGCACCGGCGACCGCCGCTGGTCGGCGACCTCAGGACGGCCGCCGGTCGCGACGGCACGCCGGCGCCGGATCGCTCGTCGGGCTGTAGCCCTGGAGCTGTTCATTCAAAGAGTATTTTTTTGAAAAAAAACCCTCTCAAAGCTCATTTGGAAAAAATAACCAAACACAATTGCATTTTCTCAAATGGCTTTCAAAGATTTACCAAACGCCATTTGTATTTCCCAAATGACTTTCACCTAAAGGTATTTGCATTCTCCAAATGAGCATTGAAAATCGAACCAACGGGCCTTACACCGGTTCATTGTCCTCGCGAGGTTACTTCCGGTTCACTGTCCGGACTTCCATGGTTCGTTGTCTCTTAACATCATTTCTTTTCACACAATTCATGCATTTTATTTTGCATTACATCACACGAACAAGCCCAATTCAGCATGCAATCGTGGACTTGGGGCTAGAAATCTAGCACCGTCTCACGGCAACAACATTTCTAAACTCAATCACAAGCTGAGCACCCAGAATTCACCAAACATAGCACAATTTCCGCCATTTCCAGCACAAACCAGAGAGCCATTGATCATTTCATGCCTACGTCTAGTTCCAATGAGCCGAGAGACAACAAACATGGACTTAGTTTCACATGCATGGACAATTCTTAACATAGTTTCAACAAACTAAGAAACTAGAGGGTTGCCATGCCTAGACTACACTCATTCTCCAAGAAGCAATAAGATCAAATAGCATTGAACTTAGTAGTTTCACTTACTTGTTAGCTTGATTGGGATATCCAAATCTCGACCTACTTGAGTGCTTGATCTTTGAGAGCTCTTGGGTGAAGAGGATTGAGAGAAAATGAAGTGCAATGGAGAGAGAGATTCGGCCGAGAGGGAGAGAGAGAGAGTGATTCATGTTCAAGTCTTCATAAAAGCCTTTAAGCTCAATCTTGCATGTCATTTGCCACTTGTGATAAACTTAATAACACTTGGCTCAATCTTGCATGTGAGAGTGAGGTGTCAAGATTAATGGACAAGTGTCTATTTCCATGCAAAAATTGCATTCTAATTTCTAAAATTAGGAGAATTGAAGTACTAGGTATGGCCCCAAGATTTTTGGCCATAGTGGAGACTAGGTGTCTAGTTCCATAAATCACATATGTGAACATTTCATTAATGTCACATATGCACAATGTATTTCTCGATTTTCTAAAGTCATGAAATCATTGGCGGTAATACCGAACGACAAGTTTAAATCCTATGATCACTAGACGGAAGATTGAAAGATCATCCGATCTGAACGACAAGTTTAATTCCTATGATCACTAGACGGAAGATTGAAAGATCATCCGATCTCAAATATGTGACCTAGTATCACCATTTAGCAACTAGTGTCACCCATCTCCAATCATGTTTGTTCCAATATTGAGTCACAAGCTCATTTCGCGTTGCTCGTACCTCAAGCATAAACTATTCCATTCAATTTCCGTTCTCAATAATGTTGAGCTTTATAGCCTAATTATTATTATTGAATAAGCAAAATTCAAGATGTCACACTTGGTCCAGTCTTCCTTGCTCATACACGGTCCTTGGTGCATGGGAAACCTCGGATCTGTGACAAAAAGTAGCATGTGGAAGGCCCATATCAGTAAGTAAGTACTCTCATTATGTTAAAATTGAGTAAATTTGCTGTTGGAGCCAAAGCTTTTGAGAAATGAATCCACTTAAAATGGTACGTCATTGCATCCAGTATGAAATACTGGCTTGAGGAACTTATGTTGGACTCTGGCATCGCTACATCCACCGTGTCATCTGCCAATATTATGCTCATCAGCGATTACTAGTTTATGACACATGACTTGGCTACATCGATGTCTTACCTCATTTGTGCATCTACAAAGGCTTAATTTCATGCGCCCCTACAGTAATCTGTGCTTACAAACACTCGTGGCTGAGTTTCAAGTCATCTACTACAATATCGCAGACCTAATGACAAAAAATTAGCTGAAACTGCCAGCGGGCAGTTTTTTGAGGTGAGAGAGCCAATTCGCTGGTTTCTTCCGCGAATGCTCTAGTTGGAAATATGGACTTTGGGGTAGTGAACAACTGCAACCACATCTCGGACCACCTACTGTTGTCTCATGAGCCACCACAGGACCAGTCTGTTCCATCAAGTCTCTTGTGTCACCATATTCGCTTCGGGAGATTGTGAATTGGTGCAACAGTGTATCGATGGTTGATGTTCTCTCACTGTCATTAGCTGGGATGCACCTTGCATCTCATGATCCTTCCTACAGGTAATTAGAAAGACTCCTCAGATCGAAAATAGTTCATAACATACTGACCGGGAAGTCCGCTTCCAACAATAAGTAGGGCTGCCTGGATGATCTGCAAAAATGGAATTAGAAGAAACATAAAGAAGCTAACTCATCCTCAAATCTCAATGATCACTGCACTTAAGGCATGACTAGATCAAATATCCGTGTGAAAGCAACATATTGCCCAACTCTTGATCGATGATGCAGAAGCAAGTAACTTGATATTCCATAGCATAATGAACCTAAGTGAAGATGAGTACATATAATATGTTGCTTGCCTAATCAAACAAGGAAGCTACGTACGTGCGCTAAAGCGAACGTCCCGTCAGAACCTCAGTGATGAACTGACCAACTACATTTTACGGCCAAAAAGAACAAAGTAACCAACTATGTTCAAGACATATTTCTGATTCAATAATATACTCAACTTCTTCTGAGCTAATCTTCCTCAGACAATTTGCAAAGAGGGGGAGGTTTAATTAGCAGTTAAAATTACCAATTTTTTTTCATGAACGAGCTTCTCAATTCCTTCAAGCATCCTCCACTCCACTGTCATAAACTCCAAGGTATGCCTCCTCTCCTTCGTCCTAATACGAAATTACAGAAAAGGGATCAATCATAAAAAGGTTATGCTAGAAATTACCAAGGATTGCTGCGACAGAAAGATATTGCAAATTTCCACAAAGGACATCCGGATAGAAGTAAAGCCAAACATTTCAACCATGCATTGGAACATCACCTTTAGAGAGTATTGCTACCAAAGAAAAGAAAACCGAATCTAAATTCAGATAGCAATGTTCTACAAGTTTTGCCTCGAGATACATGCTGATTCTACATGTAGAGGAGCAAATGTACTCCAGAGGATGAGAGATAGATACCTCGGATGTGTCATCTATTGTCGAGCCGGCATTAAGTGATCTAGAAAGTTTTTCTTCATCAATCTGGTTGTTTACTCTCATATCTTCCTGTGAAGTAGGAAGCGAATGCATTATTGAAATAAATGCCATTTTTTGTCTCATTAAATTTCTAAAAGGTGGGAGCTCATACAAGTTCGTATTTTAACTGCTCAATCCGCTCCTGCAAGTCTGAAAGATGATGCTTAAGTGCCTGCAGCAAAAGAAAATTTGATAATATAGAACAGGACAAGCATTGTGACAAGCTTAAGGATAAGAGGTTAAGTATAGTTTCTCAATCAGTTTCACCTCACGTCTCTGAAGTTCAATAGAGCGAGCCAATGCCTGCCTTCTAGTCAGCAAATTTCTGGGTCTCACTGCACGAGGCCTTTGATAATTCTTCCCACGATAAATGATGATAGCATAGCCTTTCATAGTCTTATCTACGGATACCAGCACTCCACCACTTTCAGCCTCTAAAGAAATTGCAAGATGCTTCACTTGTGCAAAACTTTTTCCCCTCACAATTAATTTTACCAACTCGCGATACTTCCAATGCAAGTGCACGTTCTCTATGGTACCGTCAAAAATGGCACGCTTTCCTGGATTAAACCAAACAGAAGATGAAAAGCTAGTCATGAAAGCTAACCTTTTCACATTGTTCAATCAAGAGCCAAACCAGCTATTCTTACCAATAAGCAGGAAAGGCTTCATACTCAGACCAATCTTACGAAGTAGAGATCTCTCCTCATCGCTTATGGTTTCCAGATCAACTGGAAGGTCTGCCGGTCTCAGATTCTCCTGCACTTTCGCTAGAGCTTTCTCAGCCTTTTTGACCTTCCCTTTTGCCTGCAAAGAAGAGGATAAAATAAATGGAAAATGTGATAAACAATTAAGGAAATGGAGCAGGATTTTATAGCATAAGTTTGTTCAATCTTGTAACTTACAAGAGCAAGTTTCTTCTCAAGATATTTCAAGAGTGAAGCATGCTTATTGAGTGATTCCTCTCTACGCATTTGCTCAAAATCTTTGCTACTTAATTCATTCCCCCACCGAGAGGTGGCAGCCAGAGTTTCAGTAAGAGTGCCAGCAACAAGTTGGCTTTTAGAAGCTTTTAATTTTGAATCAATTGCGGCTGAGGCCCTCTGACGTGCTTGGTCTTCCTCATTTGCCTGGACATCTGCTAGTTTTGCTCTCTCTTTCAGTGCTTCTACCACTGCAGGAGGCATGAAGTCATTACCCCTGTAAAACACAATATAATCTTTGTTCCTAGAGAGTAGTGTTCCCCCAGTTAAATTCTGCATTCAGAATGACACAAATCAATAACACTAGCACCAAATTTTCCTTACCTAAACAAAAAGGACGGAATATGCAACACAAAACAGAAGTTGATATTACCATAATGCCAGAACAATAAGAACAGAGCACAATGCTTGGAATAAGAACTTGCATAACCTCTTCTTTACAACACTACACAAGTATGTTCCGGAATGATGACACAGTAACCATGGCTGAGTTTTACCATTACAATAACAATTATAAATTTGATGGTCAGTGACGAAATAAAAAATTGAGCATTGTACCGTGGGCTTGAAGGATAATGATATAGTCACTACCACTCTATGGCAAAGAGTTGGTAATTCTTTCCGTCAGGCAAATCAAATGAAGTACAGACTCTGAAAGGTTCTGTGCTCGATGAAAGCAACAGAACACCCATTTTCAACAATAATTAGCTCCATACATATATGCTAAAAAGTCAACATATATAGATTGTCCAACCTTCAGTTCTTCAGCCATTCTATCATTGCAAGTATTTGGCACGCCGCGTTTAATTGCTATTTTTGCAATAGCACTGCTCTCCCACAACTTTACCATGGCCTTAGCAAGACCTTGCAGCCTTCTGTTTCTTCCTACAAAAAAGTAGGATTAATTTAGAACGATTTTGAGTCATAGCATAATCAAACCAGTTTGTTGGTCATAACCAGCAATGGCAGAAAAGCACACAATTTATTGCCATTGATGCACACATACCCAGGGCAAAATGCGGAGGCATCGTTCTTGCTAGTCTACGAAACATGGTCATCTCTTTGTTTCTCAGACAATGTCCAACCCCATAAGCAAGAAGCCTAAATGGAGTTTTATATCCAGGAACCTCTGAAGATAGCAAGTCAGCATCAACTGGAACTGGGTCACAGCCTGACCAATCCTTGAACCGTGGACCCAACTCATCTAATAAATCGTTAGGATCATTCATATCCATGAATTCTTCCTTAGATAGATCCTTCATATATTCTGCAGAACCACATAAAATTCGGCCCTTGTTTTTGGAAAACTCCATTCCTCCTTCACTATGAAAAACATTGCTGGCTATGTCCTCATTTTTCAGAGAACTTACACTGGCCTGTATTTTTTTGCTGTACGATTGGACACAAGGAAGCTTATAGGCCATCCCTCGGTACAACACCACTGAACTTCCAGATCTCCATATAACCAAGCCTCCAGTCCTACTCTGATAAGGCAAGTGCATTAGGGGCTCATTATCTCAGCGCACCAATGGTTCATGATTAAAATACAGACTCTCTAGTCTCTAACCCCAATCAAGATTTATGCAAGCGATTACATCTTTGCAGTCAAGATTTTACATCCATTCCAGCTATCAAAATTCAGCACTTAAGATGCATGCAAGCAATCAGCAAGCTCATGAAAGTTCCAGGCTCATCAAGATTCAAGCTTCATTTACTTAATAATCCATAAGCAAAGACAAGACCAGCACTAACCTCCAAAATCTGATGGGTTCTTTTCATGTTAAGTGACAGGGCACCTTCAAACTTCAACTTCACCACTTCATCCACTCTCCACTTCTCATGTATAGAATCCACTAAAGCCTGAGTAATCCCTGCATCCCCAACTTTCTTCCTCTCCACCATCCTCAGAGCAATTTTCCTGAGCCTCCTGAGCTCATGTTGCGGAAGCACTCTCTCCGCCAAATCCACATTGCTCTGCTTCCTCTCTCCACTCTTCCATGGCAAGTCCACTGAACCCTTGTTTCCACTCTCCCCAGAAACATCAAGCTTCTCCAACTCATCATTCCCCTGATGATTCTCATCATCGGACAAAAAGTCACTCACTCTCAATCCTCCAAAGGCGAGTGACAAATTCTCACCTTGTCGAGGAACTGGGGACAGTTTCTCCCATTCATCATCTTCTGTATCGAACTCCCCGCCAAAATCAACTTCACTAATCGACTCGCCAGCTCTAACAACATTGCCATCACCCAAACGCTCCCTAACCTCCTCAATTTCCTCTCCCTCCGAGCCTGATCGCGAAGCTTCGCTTTCATCGTCGCGGATGGGTTCTGGAGAGGGTTTATTATATCCATGAACCAACCAAGGAGGCAACCTAGACTGATTAACTGAAACGGCATGCGCCATGACGCCATCCGTCACCGGCGACTCAACATCACGCTCACGCTCAGATGATACTTCAACAGCTTCATCAGACGCTTCCCGGCTCACCAAGCTTTCGTCTTCGCACTGCTCTCGCGGCGGCTCTCGCTCCTCCACCTGCCAGGGGAACCTCTCCCGGGCCGAACCGGTTTTGCTCGTCCACTTGCCGCGGATTTCCTCGAAGAAGCTCGGCCTCCGCTTCCGCTTCTTCCTCCCTGCATCGAACGGGACTCTGGTCGGCCGGGCCTCGAATTGAACCGGCCGGTCCGAGCAGCGGGTCCTGAACCGGACGACTTCGCAGCTTCGCCGGAGGAGGAGGAGCCGAAGCGGAGGAGGGCGAGCGAGCGCGCGAGCGCGGGCGGGAGGAGGATAGGAGGGATTCGGCGGCGGAAATGGTGCGAGCGCCATAGCTCAGCTCCGATGAAAGGCGGGCATTTCCATAATCGCGACGAAGGAGACGACGGAGCCTCTGCTTTTCCTTGGATAAGCGACGAAGAAGAAGAAGAAGAAGATGAAGTTGAAGATCCGACGGGGAAACCGTTAACGGCCCAAAAGACAGAGGCTTTGGACTTGGGCCTTTCATTTGCTGGAGTTCAAGTAGATGGGCCGGGCCGGGTCAAGCCCATGCGAAAAACTTAGGACGAGTCACTACATTAAAATGTTTTTGATATAACTTGTTTTAGTTTTCCATTTTGAATAATATCTCAAATTGTGGGAAAAAAATTTACAAAAAATACTTTTTACTAAAGAAAAGAGTTCAAGAACTTGATTGGAGATAATGACAAGTTTAGAGACCATACATGGACTTTCACCTAATCAAATGTCTCAATACACATAGCGTTTTTCAACATGAGTATATATATTCTGAGCTAGCAATTAGATGACGATCCTAATCTCAATCTCGTTCATTAAGAAAAAGGAAAAGAAAAGGAAAAGTACGCGGGATAAGAGAATACTTCGTCATGGAAATAGGAGAAATTGCCAAAAATAGGCCTCGATTTTCAGCCTAGGACAAAAAAACATATCTCTATTTTGGAAACCTACAAATTACATACCTCAATCCCACAAAAATGACCTGATGATGCTCCATGTAAAGATCCTCATGGATATAGCCTCGCACCATCAACATGCCCAAACTCTCAAACTAGCTCTACTAATACCCTTCTCCGTTGCTAGCCACCGCCTACGTCGTCTTGAAAGCCCATTGATGCCGCTGCTGCCGCCTTAGCCCTGTTTCTCTCTCTTCATCTCAAGTTGAGGGCCCCTCTCTCTAGTGCATCCCTTGCAACTCTCTCTCTCTCTCTCTCTCTCATATCTCGTTTATAATTCTCGATAGCTATAGTTTTTGTTGAGAGAAAGAATAAATTCTACTTCTTTGAAAAGAGAATGAGATACAATATATATAGGGAAGAGATGGACCTCAACCCTAAGACAACTAGATAAATAAACTAGGCCCAACTAATTAGGCCCAATAACATTAACAATAAACATAAAGAGGCTTTAACGCTCCCCCTCAAGTTGGAGCATAGATATTGGACATGCCCAACTTGCAGAGAATGGTATGAAACGTGTGCCCGTTCAAGCCTTTGGTGAAGATGTCAGCAAGCTGATCCTTAGAGACAACGAAGGACAAGTTGATGAGGTTGTTGTCCAATTTTTCCTTTATAAAATGACGATCAATCTCCACGTGCTTGGTGCGATCATGTTGTACCGGATTATGAGCAATGCTTATAGCAGACTTGCTGTCACAATAAAGTCGCATTGGTTGTGGAACAGCAACTCCGAGATCAGCGAGAAGGGTCTTAAGCCAAAGTAGTTCACAAACTCCTTGAGCCATAGCACGAAATTCTGCCTCGGCACTTGAGCGGGAAACCACAGCTTGCTTTTTACTGCGCCAGGTGACTAGGTTACCTCCAACAAGATTATAGTAACCGGAAGTAGATCGTCTATCATCCAAAGATCCAGCCCAATCAGCATCCGTATAAGACTCCACAGAAAGATGACCATGGGGTGCAAATAAAATCCCTTTCCCTGGAGCAGATTTCAAATAACGAAGAATCCTATGAACCGCCTCAAGGTGCGAGGAGTATGGATCGTGCATGTATTGACTCGCCAAGCTCACTGCATATGCTATATTAGGTCGAGTATGGGAGAGATAAATTAGGCGACCTACCAATTGTTGGTAACTTCCTTTATCAACGGGCTTTCCCTCTTTAGACTGCAAGTGGCCATTGGCCTCAATAGGGGTTTCAGCCGACTTGCATCCAAGCATCCCAACCTCAGCCAAAAGATCCAGAATATACTTCAATTGGGAGAGAAATACTCCTTTTTCAGATTGAGCGACTTCGATACCTAGAAAATACCGAAGAGCTCCTAGGTCTTTAATTTCGAATTCTCTCCCCAGATATTGTTTAAGACGAGAAATTTCGACTGCATCATTCCCTGTCACTACAATGTCATCGACGTATACAATGAGAACAACAACCTGAGTACCTAATCGTTTGATGAATAAGGTATGATCAGCATTACTCTGAGTATAACCAAAAACAATCATAGCCCTTTGAAATCGCCCAAACCAGGCTCTAGGGGATTGTTTTAAGCCATGCAATGCCTTCTTGAGTTTGCACACTCGACCTTCTGTCTCCGGGCCAGAATAACCTGGGGGAATGTCCATATACACCTCTTCTTCAAGTTCCCCGTGAAGGAATGCATTCTTCACATCCAGCTGCTGTAAGTCCCATCCAAGATTGACAGCACATGAGATAAGAACTCTAATAGTGTTCATCTTGGCAACTGGTGCGAATGTCTCAGTATAATCAAGGCCATAGGTTTGGGTGTACCCCTTGGCCACCAAATGAGCTTTGTAGCGGTCAATGGTTCCATCGGCCTTTTGTTTGACAACAAATACCCACTTGCATAAAACGGTACTTTTTTTTCGGGGAAGATGAACTAACTCCCAAGTACCATTTTTTTTAAGAGCTCTCAACTCTTCTAACATAGCCTCCTTCCACTTTTCGTTAGCTAGGGCCTCTTGCCATGTTCTGGGGACAGCTGTGGACAACAGAGATAAAAGAGAAGGCACGGTAGGATGAAGACAATCTATCATATGACACAGCATTGGATATGGGATGCTGCGTACATGAACGTTTGCCTTTTCTAAGTGCAATTGGTAAGTCATTAGTTGTATCATCATTATCAATAATCTGAGAGGAGGTGCCATTACCCGGAACTGCGATTATAGGACTAGCAGGAGGAGATTGGTCGAAGAGTAGAGTAGTGATAGAGGGGGCTTCACGAAAATTCTGTCGGTGAAACACAATCGGGTACCAAAACTGTTCCTGAATCGGAGGGGCTTCTGCTAAATTTTCTGCATTGATAGAATTAGGATTTTTAGCACTAGTTGAGTCTTTGGAGCTTTGGTGGGGCTGTGTTTTACGTATTGGCGTAGGCGCAGCATCGATTTTTTACCAGAAATGTCAGAAATTAACTCCCCCTACAAGGGTATCACATCCAAACTGGAGGACACATCTTCACTTAACTCCCCCTGTAAGGGTATCACATCCAAACTGGAGGACACAACTTCACCATGAGTAGACTCTCCCTGAAGAGGTGTCCGCGAGTAAAATGGCTGAGACTCATGAAAGATAACATCCATGGAAACAAAATAGCGCTGAGTGGAAGGGCAATAGCACTTGTAGCCTTTCTGTGTGGGAGAATAGCTCAAAAAAATACACCTGATACTGCGAGGGGCAAGCTTACTGGCCGGGTGAGCAATACGAGCAAAACATTCACACCCAAACACCTTCGGAGGGACCAAAAACTTATGGGAACCGGTAAGAGCCTCAATGGGAGAGCGATATTGGAGAATGCGTGATGGGAGGCGATTGATCAAATAAGCTGCACTCAAAATAACATCACTCCAATATTGAGTTGGAACATTCATGGCAAACATGAGGAAACAAGTCACCTCCAAGAGGTGGCGATTCTTGCGTTCCGCCACACCATTCTGCGCAGGAGTATTAACACAGCTCGTCTGATGGAGAATATCACGGTCATGTAAAAAAAAAAGCCTGAAAAGCTGATCTGGTGTACTCCGTCCCATTGTCACTTCGAAGAATACGAAGCTTGCCATCAAATTGTGTCTGAATCATTGCCAAAAACTGCTGAAAGCATTGGAAAACATCACTCTTATGTTGCAGTAAATAAACCCAAGTAGTGCGGGTACAACAATCAATAAATGTCACAAACCAACGGTGACCTGAAATGGAGGAAACACGGGCAGGGCCCCAAACATCCGAATGCACAAGAGCAAAAGGTGCATCACTTTTATTATTAATAGAAGAATAAGTGACACAAGTTTGTTTTGCTAGAACACAAGAATCACAAAAGAAATTTTGACTACTGCATTTGTCAATTAAATTTGGAAAAATCTTTATTGAAGTTCCAAGCGGTGGATGTCCCAAATGGCGATGCCAAACATGGAGCTCAGATAGGGTAGCCAAGGAAGTTGGAGTGACAAGATGAGCTGATGGTGGTGAATCGAACACATATAAGCCCCCCTCTACTCTACCACGACCAATCTCCCGACCCGTTGTTAAGTCCTGAACAATACAATAAGATGGGAAAAAAACCACTTGGCACTTCAGATCACGAGTCAGGGAACCAATTGATAGGAGATTAGTGTAAACCGTAGGAACATGTAAAACAGATGATAGAGTAATATCACGAGTAATAGACACCGAGCCCTGGCCGGCGATAGGGACTAAAGAACCATCAGCAACAGTAACACAATAAGGTTTAGGAGGACGAGAATAATCAGCAAAAAATGTAATATCTCCAGTCATATGATGCGTGGCACCCGAATCAAGGATCCACGGCCGAGAAGATTTACATAAACCACCGAAAAAACTACCTGACTGTGCGAAATTAGAGGTCAAAGTGCCCGAGGCCGATGATGTGGAGGTCCTAGGGTTGTCTACGTTGCGTGCTAAGAGGAGGCACAGACTAGTCAACTCAGCAGCAGATAAAGAGTCTGATGGAGCAGCTGGTTGTTGACCTGGGGCCTCACTTAAGTGCACCTGAAGCCCGATACGACCCCATTCGCGGCCACGACCAGCATTGGAAGGGCGTCCGTGAAGTTTGTAACAAGTTTCACGAGTGTGACGTTCTTTTCCACAATCAGACCTATGGACAACCGAGATTCGCTCCGTAATCGATCATGGTAGAATGACCCGTAACGATCATGAGATTCGCTCCAAAGAATAAGAGAGAGTATAAAGGGCATAGCGCTATGGGACAACGGGATGATGCATCGTGCTCCGACGCTTCTCCTCTAGATGGATCATGGCATAAGATTGTTCCAAGGTCGGGAAAGGCACACGACACAAGATCTAGGCCCTAATCTGATCGTACTCCATATTAAGACCTGCTAGGAACTTAAAAACACGAAATTTGTCCACCCTTTTCCGAAAGGCAACAACATCAAGAGGGTTGGTAGGATGAAAATCATCATAAAAATCCAGTTCATGCCATAGACTACGTAACTCAGAATAATATTGAGATAAGGACAGCTCCCTTTGCTTGGTTTCATGAATTTTTCTTTGGAGTTCATAGATTTGGGCATCATTGCCCTCTTGAGAATAAGTGTTCTTAGCAGCCTCCCAAATCTTGGCTGCTGTGTCCAAAAATAAGTAGCCACGGGCGATAGAGTCAGTCATTGAATTGACAAGGTAAGCCATAACCAGGGCATTCTCAGAGATCCACTTGAGGATAGCATCATCTCCGATAGTAGGTTGCACGCTCTCTCAGGTAAGGTAGCCGATAAGACCACGTGAAACAATGGTAAGGTAGCAAGAGCGAGACCAAATCAAATAGTTGGAGCCATCTAACTTGATGGGATTTGTCGGAAAAGAGGGATAAACACCAGGAGCACTACAGCTTAATTCTCCAAGAGAGTCTGAAGCTTTTTCTGTCTCTAACATGGTCTTGGATGATAGGTTGTATAAAAAAAACAGGATTTAGATCATATAAGGAATGATCCAGAAAATATCAAGGCTGGTCGGTAGTAGGGAGGCTCTCGGAAAGCACTGGACAGGGCATGGAGAGGTCTAGGATATCACTGCACGATGCATGAAGGCTGCCGACAACAATGGGAGGAAGAAGGGTTGCCAACAACGGTAGGGAGAAGAGTAGCGGTTAGAGCAGTACTGGGAGGTTCTTGGAGATGGAGAGGCTACGGGTTGAGAACGAAGAGGAGGAAGGTAGGGACGCAGGTTGCTGGGAAGAAGAAGATGGCAACAAGTTTCAAAGGAAGGGGCGCTAGGTTACGGTTTCACGCTCTGATACCATGTTGAGAGAAAGAATAAATTCTAGGGAAAATTTCATTTTGGTACCCAAAGTGAAGCGTTTTTCTCAATTTGGTACCCAAAGTGGACATCTTACTTCTTTGAAATATATATATATATATATAGGGAAGAGATGGACCTGAACCCTAAGACAACTAGATAAATAAACTAGGCCCAACTAATTAGGCCCAATAACATTAACAATAAACATAAAGAGGCTTTAACAGTTTTCTATTCATAAGCCACAACTGGGATAGGGGGAGGATTGTCACAGTCATCGCGACCTTGATTTGAGATTGCCCATGGTGTATTCACCCATGTTCCAAGGTCGTGACGCTACCTTGTCTATAATTTTCGATAGCTATAGTTTCTCTTCATAGGCCATAACTGGGATAGGGGGAGGACTGTCACAATCATCGCGACCTTGATTTGAGGTTGCCCATGGTGTATTCACCCATGTTCCAAGGTCGTGACGCCATGGGTGACCTACCAAGTCCAATAGGCGCAGCCACACCTCCATGTGAATTACGATCGAGTAGGATAATAGAGCAACAACAATGAATTTGTGTCTTTATAGCGATGTTGGAGGAGGCTAGGCAATTGGTCGGGGACCTTGGCTACCAAGGGGTGGGGGTTGCAGTAGCGAAGAAGGGGAAAATTATTAGGGACTTTAGACCTTTGTTAGCCTACTTCCCATGAGCCCCTAGATTATGTGGACTACATGGGCCTACATGATTTCACGGCTCATGTTACTTGGGCCAACATAATCTGGGTGTACCCAATAAGGCTCCTAAGAAGGGGTTAGCGTTTGTATATTCTCGATTAGGCTATGGACGCGTGAGTTGGGAGTTTACGTGAGCACTGGCCATGTTAGGCCGGTATAACTAAATTGTCAAATCGTCAAAAGGTTTGGGACTAAATTGACATAATTAAAAGGTTTATGACTGAATTGGTCACTGTACAATAGGTTTATGACTTTTTGGACAAATTTTCCATTTTCAAAACTATAAATACCTAAACTGAGTGAACTGATAAGCCATGTATTCCTGACCTTTTTTTGTTTACTTCACATGAACCATAGATCAGGTAGGACTGAAGAGGGCCTATATGATCTAACTACTCATATGAAGTGGATTAACATAGACCGAGGATACCCTAGAAAGTTCTTGAGAAGGGGCAAGGGTTTGAGCTTTGTTGATTAGAGATTGGATGTGAGAAGATTGGGAAGCCTTTTTTGAAAAAGAAATATGACAATCTAATAAATAAGCTTGTTTCGACCAACTAAATAAATAAATAAGCTTGCAAATTTACTAAATTGCTTTACTTATAGTTTCGAAAATAGAAGTATGTTTTTGGTCATTGCATAAAAACTCGAGCATGTTTTTGTTATTTTCCCTATTATAGTAATTCTCAAATCGCATTCCATGTCCATGTGCATGATGCGACTGTGCGAATATAACTAATTCACACATTTTCAATCTATGTGAGAATTCCTTGATGATATCCTCCTCAAGGAGGTAATGGCCTCTCCCTGAATATTCATGTAAACAATACGAATAAAATAAAAGATCCAAAGATCATCAACATATCCAACTTATAATATACTTAGATCATCACAGAGCTTTAAACTAAGCAAACCTTTGAAAATTTAGACCATAATCTGTGTCTTCCAGATGTGAATTGTGAAGACTATCTTCTTGCTTATAAACCTTCAAGAGGTAATCTAATCTTTGATTTGGGCCAACAAGTAACATTCATATTCAATTCTGTCAGGCCGAAAGAAACATTCAAAAAGGAAAAGTCCCAATCCTTAGTGCCTCCTCTCAAACCCTCTCTATCATTAGAGCTATTCTTCTCTTGTCAAGGTTTTCAAAAGACCTATATGTAGGGGCTTAAATAGCATGTGTGAAATGTTCCTAGTGGAAGAATAGCTGTTATAAAAAAATCATATTTAAAAAGAAAATCACGTGGGAACATGAAGAAAAGTCAAAGATGATGGGAGAAGGTGGATCCTCGATGTTCCCTAGTTTCCAACAAAAGCTTCAATTAGGAGTTCCAACATTCGGTACACATTGGAAAAATTGGATGCAATTGGGCCCCTCCCAAGGCCCCTAATGAGGGTCTTCTTCTCGTCACCATCATCAAATTCCTATTAATTTTCCTACTTTAGTTTCTAATTTTTCTTTTTACCTTCTCTAAGGATTATCGGGTTCTCAATTAAACTTCAAAAGCTGATTTTTCCTAGGCCACTTTTAGCTCATACTAGATAATGCTAATCATTCTGCTATTGTTTAGCACATTATTAGTAGGAATTAAGGATTTCTTGATTTTGAAAAGTGAGGTGCTTGATCAAAGTTCTTCTACCTAGCTATAGCTAGCTCCGACATGAATTATTCCATCTTTTTCGAGGCTCTTTTTTTTTTTTTGTTCCTTTCTCCTCTTCTTTCTAGCAAGTGGCCTTATAGGAACAAAATTTCTGGCCATGCAGCACATTTGCTAGAAGAAAAAACATTTTAATCATGTTTATGATGCACTGCCCCCCCCCCCCCATGGGTGTCTCCATCGGCCGTCTTGCTCGCGGAATTGAGTCGTCTGTCCATTTCGTTTATCTCCTCTCACCACACCGAATCAAAGGGAACATTCCAAAGTTAGGGCTAAACCCAATTGGAATGGAGTACGTGAGCTGCAGTGTTGGATGGACACCCAATTGTTCCCCACCACGGGCGAGCTCCTTGCCATCAGCGCGGGCGTGATAGTGGGAGGTCGAAGAGATGGTGTGGTGGCGTTACCGAAGATGGTGGTGGGCGGTGGCGCGGTAGTGGTGGATGGGAGCCGGCAGTGCCCGATTGTCGGTGAGGAAGAAAGATGAGCCTAGGGTTTTGTCGGGATCTTTACCTGATGTTTGTAAATACACAAAAAGACGTTCAAGTGGCACGCACTTTGGAAAAAGATGTATGCTTAGTCGCCGATGTCCATTGGAGCATAATAGAATTCTTGGATGAACGACAATATACTTCCGAGTATGTAAGACACATTGAATGATTTTCGCATGAGTTTAGAATAAGCATATGCGATTTAGTCCATCATATAGACAAATACACCTTATTAAAGCTCGTTTATGTAAAACTAGGGGTCGAAATTGGAACCGTTCGATTTCGCATCATGTTGTTCGAGCAAAACTAAAACAAAAAAACATAGTGATATGTATAGGAATCATCATAATTGCACACAACGGGGGGAATTTGTGTTTAAGCAAATCTTTCGAAGATGTGTCTAATATGTTGAACAGTTTGTACAAAATCGAAAGGACTTCTCTTCACTAGCGCCACGATCAATGTGTACAAGATAAATACATCTTATAGTGCGACTGGCTGACTCATTAAACAAGGTGAGATGGTGCAATTTCGAAAAAGAATCAACATGATAAGAGAGAGATAAGAGAGAGGAAAGATAACTATCCTATGAAACCCTAAATTGCAGCAGCGACGAGTCTATATGCTTTGGTTGCGATTGAATATTTTCTGCCCAGGAGAAAATATCATCTTCGGATCGAACCGGGCTTTTCTCTGACGGAACAACCTCCATTTCGACCCGAAATGTCTCCTCCATTCTTGTTCATTGCCAAAATTTGGAAGATAGTGTTTAACCTCAATGCCTGCGTCTTCACAAAAACTCAGCAAGTCCTTATTTTGGAGATCAAATTGTTGCCAATCATCAAAACCGCTCGAATACAAAAACCCTATGGTGTAGAACACATCCTCGTCCGGTACAACTGCAGACATCCGGTCATCCCACCTGCGGAATTCATTGTGATTAATATAGTTTCATACCCTTAAAATAGATCCCCCATTGTTGTTTACACGTTTTATGTTACTTAGTAAAGACAATAAATCTGTAGCTAGAGGAGACTTACATGCTTCGATTCATGGGATAAATGAGGACAGTTCCGGTAGTTATGCTCCTTTTGAGGATGATGCTCTTGAAAACACCGTCGTTGAAATCTGAAATGCGAGATTTGGGCACGAATATGTTCAACCATGGATGAGGAACATCCCAAAGGCCCTGTGCTGTGAGTTTCAGCTCTCCTTCTCGTACTCGGTCGAGGAAATCGACGTAGGCTACATCTTTCTGGAACACGAACTCGGGAATATGGCTCAATCCTTGGAACAAATTCTCCAGATCCTAGATTATTAGAATAATAGTCAAGTTAGAGACGATAATTACAGGAACATGATTAAGTGTACACGAGAAGGGAGAGCATCTCTCTCTCTCTCTCTCTCTCTCTCTCTCTATCTCTCTCTCTCTCTCTCTCTCTCTCTGTCACATGCGTGCAAGCATAGCTAGGGTTTGTCAAAAATGGTCAGTTCAGCCCTACCTTGTTCACAGTATTTTGCGTGAGATCATCGTAGTATTTCACTACTTCGAGACAGTAGACGATCTTATGTCGGTTCACCAACGATGCAATCCGCGGGTGGTCTGACAGAGGGAAGAAAGAAGATCTCCAACTATCCGGAGGACCCCGGTGCATGAGAAGCAGCCCTTCCACATAGTCCAGTGCATCGCCTTGGTCCCTCCCATTCTTTGAAATCAAATGCTCTTGGTCTCTCGTAAAAGCCGAGAAATCACTGTAAAGCATTCTCACCCATTTGACCTGCATGTCGATATTATCACAACATAATTAATTTTTTGGGGCTAGTGATTTGCTTTTAGCCAACCAAATGAAAGAATAGTGAAACATGTATTATGTAAGTAGGCATTCTAATATGTTCCAAAAACCATATTATACGGTTCATCGTTGTAGTAGCTCTCTCTAATTTTTGAATTAACAAGTTGGCTTGATGTTATAAAATAAATCAAGAAAATATATCGCCAAATGGTCGAGTTTGAGTGTTCATACTCTCTTTGGAGCTCGATCTAAGGCGATTCTCGCTCTCGTTATTATGCCAAACTGGCCAAGACCTCCGAGAACAGAGTAAAACAGCTCCGGGTTTTCGTCGGGCGAACAAGTCATAAGCTCCCCAGTTCCTAGATCCAAAGAAAAAGAGCAAGGAACGACATTTATTCACTCGTAAATAAGCAAGCAAATGTAAAGAAACTGTAGTTTGGTGACTGCCCGCATAAACAAATCAAGAAGCGCGTTTTTCTGTCGGTACGAGATCTTAATAGTACTCCAGAAAGTAGTTGTTAATAAGGGAAAAGAAAATTCTATTAATCCCTCTCTCCCTGGACATAATTTGACCCGTTGACTGGTCCGGTCAACCTACAGATCTCCAACTGATATAATGCAGTACAATAATAACAGGAAGATCTAAGGAAATGACACATGGGCTGCGGTTCCACGGCAAAGTCCGTAGCAAAAGACAAATAAACAACAGATTCATAACGAAGACCTTCTAGATATTACAAGACCCCAAAGAGCACAGTTTTCTCAACAAACGAGTATTCCACAAGGCACAGGTTTACAGAGCTCAATTCAAATTGGAAATGAGTGTCTCCACTATCTACGAGTTCATATGATTCTCGGGCTTCTTTCCTATGTTCATTATATATTCTATTGATAATGTCTAGTCGACTCATAATCATAGCGTAATAACCTAAGTTTCTTGATTAAATCGAGCCTATTTAATATACTAGCGGAGTCAATTTTAAAGCATTTGTGGTCATCCCCGCCTACGAGTAATGGGTATATACTTTTGTTTAAATACGTCGACGGAATCTTACCCACGTCGCTCGGTAGACAGGTTTAGGTACAGGTATTGTCACGTTGACGTATCCCGCAAGAACTCTTCTACGAAACACAAGTTTACAGCGAGAACGTATTTATTGCCAACTACTACCCGACCCTTTCAATATCGTAGTAGCTAGCTCTGAATAAAAGAGGGAAAAAAGAAAGACGAAAAAAGGAAAAAAGAATGAAGAAGAAAAGTCGGAAGAAGTCATCGCGTTCATACCAGTAATGACGTCCATTTCATACACATTGCTGATCTGAGGACCATATCGAAACGTTTGCCCACTTATGCCAGCATTAGAGAGCGTCCCACCCACGGTTAGGTACAGATAATCCGTCCACGAGACGGGCGCGAGCCCGTGCCTCAGTGTCGCCTCCAACACATCCCGCCAAATCTGCCCGCCACCGACATCGGCGTAGTACCCGAGCTGCCTGCTCCACGACACGGCAATAGCGGCTCCCCCGCCACTGCCGTGGTGCCTCGCCAGCGACGTCATGTCCACCACAACCCCACCCCGGGCCATGGCTTGTCCCCGGACCGAGTGGCCGCGTCCTCTAGCCGCGATGGCGAACGGGACGGAGGAATTATCGTTGTCGTACGTGAACTTTACGAGGGCCGCAATGTCCTCGGGGCATGACGGGTGGAGTACGGCCGCGGGGGTTTCCCGGACGATGTTGCCGAAGTCTGCCGAGGCAGCAATTATCGACTCCAGGTCCGTGTGGAGCTTGTCGGCGAGCTTGTCGGGGAGGGAATGAGCTGAGGGCTTGGATTTGCCGACTGTTGAGAGCAATCGGATTACGATGAATATTACCATGAAATATGAAACGATTGGATAATTCTCTGCCATTTCCAGAGGGAGAGAGGGAGAGGAACTGAATATGCGGAGGAAGAGGAAGAGGAAGAGAAGATAATAAGTTGATGGTTAGGGTGTGGCACTTAGACAGATATTGTCTCATATATATAGGAAGAGTGAATAAATAAAGAAAATTATATCACCTTATACAATATTAATAAGGAGTAGGCAGGACGCAGGAGAATAAAGGCAGGATTAGGGTAATAGTGAGTACCCATGAGCATCGCGGATAAAGTTTGTCACGTGCTTTATGGCACCATAATGAATGTTTTTACAAATATTGGTATGTAAAATTCTATCTGAAACAGGATCATCGATGGTCTCTGCATTACATAGTTAGGATCAGATTATATTAGGATATGGTATATCAGATTTGCCATAATTACTCTATAGGCAACAAATCTTGCGATTATACGGTAAAGTGGTTTATGAAAAGAAGGGAAACGGCAAGAGCTTCGTGCTTATCATCCGAAAGATTTTAGCCTATAATATGATTTATTAAAATCAGAAGAAGAGATATTAATGACAAGTTTGTCTGTGCACAAGACTTAAACAATTCATATATTAATATAGCTAGAGACTACTTGAAGAGCGGACACTACATTCACTCGCACTAAGATTTTACCTGGCACAACACAATCGGAATTACGGTGAAAGTATCTATATAGAATTGACCCATCGTTGGATCAAGTCGATCATAATTGCAGATGATGGCGGGTCTCACGCGATCTCGCATGATCCGTCTATAATGATGATGTTCGATCCACATATTCGTGATTCTGGACAAGTGTTGGCTCTAGGAACACGTCAAGCCATGGAGGGGTCACCCCAAAGACCCACCCCCCAAAAAATAGTTTCCCCATCTGGAAAGGAAGTTGCATGGAAGAGAGGGTAAAATCTTGGGTTGCAGAGAGCAAATCTTGAAGTTTGGCTGAAAACGACGTCGGACTCTCAGATGCATAGCTGTGATGCGAGGTCCCCTTTTTTCAAAGATACGAAAGGACCGAACCTTGGATCCGAAATGCGGGACTTTCTTCCAAGTTTGACGACTTGACTTGCTGTTTCCATGCGATATTATTTTAAAAAGAAATCTGCACACTGTAAGGAAATTTGAAAACGCTCGTTGATCATCTGCAGCAAAGGAGAAATTACACACTGTAATGTTTTTTGCCTTTTGGTTCTTGTGAAAACATCCCGAAGATTCCTAGACAAAACCCCCCACAGATTGCCCTGCGTTCTCGTGGGCTATTTTCAACGTGTGCACAGTCGATCTTGACCGTTCGATCCTGATCTGATTGGTCAAGTGCTGGTCAACAGTTGTCATGTTTTGCTCGTGCAACCCGATTCACAGTTTTACATCATCAGGAAAAAGCTAAGAAGACTAAAATTGATGGTAAGTTGGTCGTATGGTGTTTAAGTAAGTGGGTTGTATTTGAATGCAGGCGATACGGATCTGACGTAAGTGTCAGTAAAAACAAGGTTGGGATTGCTATTTGAGGATTATTCATGGTCAAAATTAGGTACCCATCAAGAGGATTGATCAAATCTTTGAGATTTTCTTTTGGGGATTGGAAGATCTGTGATGGGTCAAGGCAGTTTCTTCGAAATTAAGTTGATTTTGGAGGTAGGGGCGAACATCGACCAGATTTTCTTCGTTCAAAGATCTGGTCTTATGCGCAATATCCAATTATAAGGGCTACGTGTAATTGGGTAAAAGTAAAAAATTCAGAACCCATAATGAGCTGCAGCCCCTTGTTGTCTCTTTGAGTCCCTTCGCCTATCAATCCTTTTCTACGAAGCAATTAAGATGTCCCCAAGGCCAGATTAGAAAAGGAAACCGTCGATTTGATTATGGTTCCAGACTGTCATGACCAAACATTAGTTTGATAAATCCCAAGAAAAGCTACGGCAATTGTCATCATCAGGTAGGCTAGGGTCCAAGAACTTTATACCATAAAATATACTTCGTTTGTTCTCTTGCATCCCACTAGTTACGAAACACTTATGGCTTATTCATAGATCAGCACCAAGAATGAGCTACACAACCCGACTTGGTCCAGTTGAATATCAATTGGGGATTATAATGCAGCAAGAAAACAATACCATGCCATGCACGAGCAAGCATCTGACGAAGATTTGATGCGTAACTAGTGGGATGCAAGAGAACAAACGAGGTATATTTAGTGGGGGCGAAAAGCCAAAAAGATTTGATACGGACATGGCAATTCGTGGTACTTGAAATCAACACGAAATACAAAGAGTATCCATGAAAGAATGAAACCCTAGGATTAACTATGGTTTTCTTGGCAGCTCGGCTCCAAGAATCGGGTAGGAGAAATTCGATTTCAACATATAATCTTTGACCTAGAGATCTTGCAGGTCGGGAAGACCCACCGTGCAGCATATTGGAAGCCAGTTCGTTTCCAAGAAGAAGCCAATTGCTTTTCTTGATATCATGTCGATTAAGAATGTAATCTTTGACGTGCATGTGCAGCATGCAGATCTAATCTGTGGCACAAACCCTAAACTTAGGCGCTAAAATATCTGCTATGTGACAAACAAAATCATTGTTAGATCGATAAGTAATATCAAATAAGCAGTCGACACGTAGCGTGAGTTAAGTAATTTTTCTCTTTTTTGGGGGCTATGTATATAGATCATGATATGATTGATGGTTGAATACATGGTGAAATCGGAAGCTTCAGGAAAGCAACTGAGTATACCGCCCCACATGTCCGAATAGTGAGGGAGTTAGGTTCTTTACCTAACTTAGGGAAAGAGATGGCTTGAGCATGTGCTAGAGAAAAAGGAGAAATTGCCGAAATTAGGAGACTTCCGGTGACTGAAAAATTTTAGATCCGATACGAAACTCACGGCCAAGCTCTCTAAAGGAGGACTCGAACGGATAGGCTACTTAAGCATCCGATTAGAATATCACCACATCACTTAGTAAAAGAAATTCGACAATGCATGGCAAGATTAGTTAACCAGCCTCAGCCTCTGCCTTTGAGGCCGGCGACCTTGAAGAATGTTGGGGTTTTAATGTTTTCGTGGTACTTTTCACTAAATTTCATGGGCCCTTTTGTCAATTTGGATACAAAGAACAATCTTTGGTTGTTTGCCTGAATGAAAGAATATTTCGCGAATCAATTTTTCGCACTTTCATTCATTTGGTTTGTTAAAAATGATTAGTCAATGGAAAACCATTTGCGATCTAAGAAAATATGCATGTTTAAAGTGAGGAAAATGAATTCCTTAATTTGAAAAGGGGAAATCGTTTTTCTTGAAAATGATTTCCATGGAAAACATTGAAAGCATTTTCCTTTATCATAAAATTTTATTTGAAACAAACGCACCCTATATTTTCATCCATCCTCCGATCATATTTTTGAATGGTGGTTTATAAGTTTGTGGGCAATGCCCATAATTAGTAAGACTCCAACAAAATATATGGTTGAAGGAAAACGTGCCCTTTTAAAGGACTAGATCCAGCCAACCCTAATTTTAGAGTGCGTGTGTCTATAGGACCTTTAAAAAATATGACCTTTTTATCATTGTGACAAATCTAATAGGACCTTTCAAATGTACAAAATTAGAACACAATATTTTACTTATTGTCACAAATTTAGGATCCTCTAGTATTCCATCTATTCTCGCCGTTATCTTGTCCACTTGTTAGCCTAGCTAACTTTCATCACATTGATAGCTAGTAACCACACATTCCCATCCTCGCAAATGCAGTAAACTTTCATCTTAATATTGATTTCATGGTTTCTCATCAACATTCTAATCACATAATTTTCTCTAGACAAGCGTAAAAAAAATATGTACTCTCCCTAAAACTAGTAGCCATGGTTTCATTTTTCCTAGGAATAAGACAATTTGGATGAAGATCCAAACCTTCCGATTATGGATGGAACACTCATAGATGTTATTTTTGTCCAGTGGGCCAAACATTGCGTACTTTATAGTAAACTTGAAGGTTACATTAAATTAATGATGGCGGTAAAGGATTACACTTCTTTGTCATATTTGACAGGCTGTGTTAAATTTGTAATTGTGATAAAAGACCGCACTTTTGCACATGTGCCAAATGAAAATAATTACCCATCATTAATGACAACTGATGCACACTATATCTATAAATGAACTTTTGCCCGACATAAAAGTCCTTAATTGTCTTTAAACATATGTATTCATACTTACATACATACATACATACATACATACATATATATATTATATGCACATAGTTATGCACTTGGCACATGAAATGTAAAAGCAGACAGAGAGACCGTGTTTGGCTGGAGCCTCGTTGGGGATTGGGAAGGACTGCTGGTGTTGTTCTAAAGATGCTCCAAATCTTCATGGGGATCGAAGCCAGACCACCAAAGATCACGTGGTGCTTTTTACCCCCCATTTTCCCCCCTTCACCGCCGTATCTCTTCGCTTTCGATTCAGTCCCCCCACGTACGTCCTCCTTTTCTTCAATCTTTTTACCCTCTCTCCACTGCACGTGCATTTTGCAATGCACTGCACAGCGCGGGAAAAGAAAGAGATAAAACCCTAGTAATAATGTCGCTCCTTTGCTTTGTCCTGGGATTTACATGTGTATCCAACGTCCCGTACCCACATGAAACCGGGTCATCGTTTCACAAGCACTAAGAGCAGTTAGCAAATGTCAATAAAGCGAACCGGCCTAAACATGTGTGTTGCATAGAGCCTGAATTGAGAAGAAAACCAAGAGAAGAAGAAAGTAGAGCAATCTAATTAAGTAGTATCTTTATATTCTAAGACTCCTTTTCATTTGTGTATGGAACTTAAATTTGTTAATAACACCGTCCATGACTTTTATAACTTGTCGCATTATAGTGCTCGTGCTGCGTATGTGTCATGTCCTCGGTATGGTGTCACGCTTGGCCTCGACACTAGATACCTATCGAAAACTCCAGCTGAAATTAATTTTATCCTTGTGAGGAAATTTGGACAGAAGCCAAAGAACACACATATACCCTGTAAATTGGCAGATTTTTGCTTTTCGTGTTCTCGTTATATTGTCCGCCATCTATGAATTTC